TTGAATATTATGAGTCAGGCAAAAGTATTTGGAGAATTTATTGCGGATTTTTGTTTCTCTAATAATCATCTACTTTTGTTTTGCTCCTTCTTTAATTTTTATCTCCTTATATTGTAAATCAACAAATTTTGGCCGATGAGAAAATCAGAAACCTCTCGATTAGAGAGGTTAAGATGCACGTTATTTCCGACGTGACGCGCAGTTTCACGTCAAATTTGAAATCGATCGGTATTTTTGCTCTCACATGCATCCATTGCTCAATCATGCATCAATTTCCTATATGACAAACTTTGGCTGGTGATTTACTTTGGCCGGTTGGTACCAAGCGGCGAAATCAGCGAAATGAAATCGCCAGCGAACATTAGTTGATTTTAATACAGGAATCGGATTTTCTGGCCTTTTTGTAGTAATACATCTACATTGACCTGTTGAGCCAATGACGACGCCGAATGCATGGTTGCCTGTGGAGCACATTACATAAGTTTACAGTCTCCTAAAATACGTATCCTGTCCGACGGCAAAAGAGGCTGCAGATTTAGTTTTTCTGCGCGTCGACGGGATGTCTGCGACGCGAAAGTTCAGCTCGCGTTATTTGGCTCGCACGCCGAAAAAATCAACGCGAGTGACCTGCTGCTCACGTGGAAATTTGGACATTACATAACTTTACGGTCTCCTATATAAATACGTATCCTGTTCGACGGCAAAAGAGGCTGCAGATTTAGTTTTTCTGCGCGTCGACGGGATGTCTGTCCTGACGTTTACTGGGACCGGCGCTGACTCTGCCGATCACGGGCGTTCTGGACTCGACGGGATGTCTGTCCTGACGTTTCCTGGGACCGGCTTAGACTCTGCCGATCACGGGCGTTCTGGACTCAACGGGATGTCTGTCCTGACGTTGCCTGGTACCGCCGGACTCTACCGATCACGGGCGTTCTGGAGTCGACGGGATCACTCTTCCGACGTTTCCTGTGACCGGCACTGAATCGCCCGTTCACGCTTTGTTTGGAGACGACGGGATCTCTCTTCCAAAGTATGTTTATGCTGACGCATCCTATCACCTAATCGGCGTCTATTCTAATTTAATTTCCTCCTCGTCTCCCTATTTCTTTCCAAATCCCACTCTACATCAGGGAGTCGTATGCATAATACAACGAATATTGGTACGGTACGGGACAGATACAGGAGCCCGCAAATATTGTGGACAGCTGTTATGTACAATCCTGTAGAGCCTTTGTAGTCACAGATACGGGACAGATACGGGACAGATACGGGATAGCGCCAGGCGTGACACAAACAAACAAACAAACAAACACACAAACAAACAAATACCAAATTAAAGCTGTGTGGACCCTGGCTAGCGCCAGACGTTACTGAAGTAACGTCTTCTGCATAGCTACGGGAATTAAAGCTGTGTCGACCCTGGCTAGCGCCAGACGTTACTGAAGTAACGTCTTCTGCATAGCTACGGGAATTAAAGCTGTGTGGACCCTGGCTAGCGCCAGACGTTACTGAAGTAACGCCTTCTGCATAGCTACGGGAATAAAAGTTTAATAATGGTTATGGAAAATGAATGTTGCAGACATCGTCACGCAACATGACAATTTGTTCGAAGATTGAAATGTCCTGCTTACAGAATCGTTTTTAAAGCTGCGATTATCCTTGAAGAAACGGAATAAATGTGATCAAACCAAAAAGAAAGATTAAAAATCCAAGAAAATGTGACAAATATTGCATATGTATTGCAGTCAGACATCGCTTGTACGGTCCTCTGTTATCCAGATCCCTCGCCATCCGGAAGAAAACCGTTGGTTACCTATTTACAGCATATGCCATGCATACATACAGGATGTGTGTTCGATTATCAGGTCCCCCACCTCTCCAGATATTTGTGGTAATGGATGTGTGCGGTTAAACGAAGTCTGTCTGTATAACAAGCGAACACTAAGATGAAGGTAGAAGTTCAGTATGACAAATGGACGTGAAAAGCGGAAACAGCTCGTGAGCGAGGAGTGTAGACTCACGAAAGTAACAAACGTACTACAAAATGTTTTTTTGCTTGCAAAGATCTGGCTTATGCGTACGAGAACAAAAAGCTTCAAGGAACTTCACCTGCTGGACATATCGGGCACGACACAGTACAGATAAGTGGGAATCGTCATACACACTCAAACAATCGGGAAGAGATATGTAGGACTCAGTGACCAGTCAAGGCCCCATGACCAATCACGATCCCAGTGACCAGTCAAACAGTCACAATGCCCCATGACCAGTCACAAATCACCATGCATGTACATGTGTAAAGTACACAGTTCGTGGATGCTCGCAGAGTGCTTCGTACTGCAAGATTTGTTGTGGAAACTATAATTCCCTATGAGCGGTCACAGAATACAGCTGCGACCACCAATTCCATGCGAACATTTACCTGCGGAATGTACAGTTGCGACCACTCTTTCTCTGTGAGTAGTCACAGGCAGAATATGCATTTCTGTATTACAAGAGAGATTGGAAGCTTTGTCACAACTCTGAGTTTCACGTATTACTACGATCGCCAGGCAACTGATGGCTCCTAAACGGGTAGCCTGAACATAAGGGGGAGTAAGGTGAGAAATTCTGAGGGGTATCATAGGCGACGCGTATCATAGCGCAAGAGTCAGATGCAGGCGTAAAGTTGCCAAGTCTTCAGATTTGGGGTATGCAACAGCAGTTCCAAGGTGAATGACATAGAATAGAGCTGGGGACTTAAATGCCAAATCCACACATGCCCACACCATTACACACACATACACCCACACTCTCTCTCTTTTCTCACATAGACATACACTCACACGCGCATATACGCGCACACACACACATACACACACACACACACACTCATTGTATAAATCTCTCTCACACACACACACACATTCATTCTCTAAATCACACACACACACACACCTGACCTGACCTTTGACGCCAATCGCCGGAGGCGATGATAGCAATGCTACGGCAGAAGCCATAGCAACTTATGCTGGGATTGCATCACACACACACACACACACACACACACACACACACACACACACACACACACACACACACACACACACACACACACACACACACAAACACACACACACACATCCACACACATCCACGCACGCACACACACACATTCTCTCTCTCTCACACACACATTCTCTCTCTCTATCTCTCTCTCTCTCTCACACACACACACACACACATGAGCACGCACACTCACACACTCACACGCACACACACAAACTTAAGGCAAAATTCAAGAATACTTTTAAAGTCTAGCCGGGTTGAGAGAATTAGTAATCAATATCCTATATTGAACTCGGATTGTGTGCCAATAATAGTAATGATGAAGAAAGGAAAAAGGACAAAATGTTACGAGTTATGACAAACTGTCCACCGACGTAACCAGATCGTATACAGTCAGCGAGTGAGACAAAATGGCACAAACCTGACAAGGAGTACTGAGACATTCAGCGACCTGACACTTAGCTCCGACACTTCGCCTTCGCCAATCGCTTCACCAGTTGATCGAAACCAGCACACTGGTAGACCACATTTATCCTTGTGTGGTGTTGTGAGAATACATGGGTATGCATGCAGCTTTGCTCTGTGACTTTCAATTCCATGTAGTCACTTGGCCCTCCCATTTCCTATGCACTGCTCTGATCCATTCGGTCGCAAGCGCTTATTATGTATATGTTTGCGGAAGAGCGTGACATCATTGACGAGCCGTCGCTTGTTTAAATAGTCCTTTCAAGTTATGCATATTTTATGCATAGGAGTGTGACCGTGCTATTCTGCCCTTGAAGTCCATAGGTACGATGCTGAATTGGAGCCATCAGTTCGTATAGCTTGAAAGAAAGAGTGAGTTTGGAAATGTGAAGAACTTATTTACGGAACCCAACACGACTCGAACCAAGGCCTACAAGGCCTTAAAGGCCTTCATCCTCAAGGTGCAAGCCATACGTATACATGGTTTTCAACCAGAACCTATTATGTATACTATCGTGTTAGAAACGCCATTTTAATTTACTTCGAGATCTTCTCTGTTTGCAATTCTTGAGTGTCTCGCCCAGCATTATCGCTAAGTAACTGGTCAACAATGGCTTCAAAGAAGCCACTCTTATTTATGCAATAACATGTCATTGAGTTATCTTTCTTCAAATTTAGTTCTCAAGTTTTGCGGTTCAAATTCTGGCAAATTACAAAAACGTGTAGTTATTGGGCATGTATTGCACTTCTACCACTTGCGCTCCCTGGCCGACCTCACCACGCCAGAAACATGATTCCAAATTGTGGATACTGACAAAATTATCAATATCAATATCAATGACAAATAAATAACATTGTACACAAAGGTAAGATCGACCATAGAGCGCATGTGGGGAGGTGGAATTATTTGATTGATAAACAAGCCGAAAGATGCTGCTTTCTCGCTCCACATATACTGGCACCTAGATATAGACAGCAACAGCGACAACACACAAAGTGAAGGGTAGTTGGCCGCCGCCAGATGGGAACCGGATAACGAGTGAGATATGGAAGCAAGGAATGAGAACAAAGTGTCTAAAAAAGATTAGTTGTGCATGCGGATAGAAGAAATAGGCCATGATTCAGAATCACTTGGGACCGTCAGATACTTTTCCTGGACCGAGCCACTCGGAAAAAACCTCACGCCGACGGACGCAGTTGTGAGGGAAAAAACGGGTGTGTATCCCCAATGGCGATTAGGCGTCATGTTGGCATGGCAAGCAAATCACTGCAACAAGTGATAAAGAAGCAATGATAAGATGCACAGAAATGAATGTGGTAGGGCAGGGACACTGGCGAAACTCAAAACTGACTGAAGAAGTCAGGAAAAGAAACGACAATGAAGAACACACCAGATGCCATATTTGCAACTGAAAATGTTTCGCGAGATATACAACTACATTTGAACACGTCACATTGTTGCTTGTATGGTATTTCTTCAGACATAACGGAGGAATCAACAACTACACTGCGATCCGCTGAAAGTGTACCAGTTCCGACTAGCGGCAACCCACGTCCCACATCATCCACACGTATGGCCACAGCATCCAGATCTGTGCCCACAACCTCTAAACACAGTCCCATAGCAAGCAAGAATAATCCTAACCGACCAACTATTGCTTTAACCACAACACAATCGACCGTTCAAACCACCGCAGCCCTGGAAACTATCGGCAAAGGGATTGTTACAACCTCCAAAGCAATGTCAAGTAAGAGTAAAGTTACCATCAAGCTTGTTTTTAGCCCGCAATACCTCTACCTGATTTGCTATTGAGATATGTACAAGTAACACACAAAAGTTGGCTCGCTGTGGGATATGCCGAAGGCGATGCCAAGGCGAAGCACATTATTATAGCCAGATAATTGCGCTCTGCTCAAAACAGGCAAAGAGCGCTCTATCAAGTTCAGGCACACTGCCTCTGCGTAGCCAGACGATATTTAACAATAATTATATTTAACAATAAAATCATGCCAAAAGTCTACGCATGGTATAAAGTTTTCATTGAACACAGAATTTGAAACAAATGATATGATGAATTCACTAGCGATTAATAATAAATATCTTCAACCAAAGTCCTAAACGTGATCGTTTCCAATTAAAACCTCACAAGCCACTGATTGCTTACCTCTATGCATCCTATTTCGTAGAATATTATACCGCATCAGTGGGATGAGCGTAGCGTTTTCCCTGGCTTGGATATGTTTTCTTCCAGCGGATACAGTTTCGAGTCCAACTCACCTCACTACTGGGCCCATTGGATACAGTGACTCGAGGGGATTACCAAACACAGCAACTTCATCTACTGACATGGACAACGACAATCGCAACGGTGCGTCAACGCAAGCAATGACTACAATGTGGGAGTCTCAACCGTCTTCTTTACTCAGTCATGGCGCTATAGTGGGCATTTCATTGTCATTCGTTGTAAGTGGACTCCTATTGGCAATGCTCTTACTGCATAGGTATCAATCCGCCAAGAGGCATACGGAAAGCAAGAAATCGCCCAAACCTTATGAAGCTGTACAGATCAATTCAGATGCAATACCTGATACCAACCGCGAAGAGATTGCCATTTACGGAACAGTGACAAATCGCACCTCGCCATGCAACGAAACGTCAGGAGCAACGCAAGGTTACAACCAGTCCATCCTTCCCATGTACGAGAGCACTGCTTATGTCACCATCACCAAGAAATCATGTGATCTCACGGAGAATTCTGCTTATGGAACCAACGCGGATGCCAAATAAATATCACTTAGAGCAAGAGTGCGATAAAATACCCACTTGTTTTATCGTGTGCATACACGCACACAAAGTAAGGTAACAAGGTTTGCTCCAAGAACGTTTTCAAGTGACTACCGTCAGTGGAAAATGTTACTGATTGACAACACTGAATGAAACATGATTATAATACCCTCAGGTATTGTCTATGCAACATGCAGAACACTAAAACATGTGACTACATTTTGTAAACAAACACTGCTACCTTAATTTTGTGCGTGTGCGTGGGTGCGTGTTTGGGTGTATGGGCGTGGGTATGGATGGGTGTGGACATTAAGGCACAAATAGTTGTTTTATCGAATTGCTTAAACTGTTGTCTCCTTGCCGCCTTTGTATATAGCAACAATGTAACGTGTCACAATCTGACATATATAATGACATTTACACCTACCCTACCACCATTTTAGCTGCTCACCTTTGCGATGCATCTAGCAACTGAACCCCATTAGTTTTGAATCATGCATTGATAATGTTGTAACTTGTCAGTTTTATTGCTTACTTCGCATATGGCATTCACCATGTATGGATGAGAGGTTTCACGCAATAGTCGTCTTACAGCCGTCACAGAGCACCCCGCATCATTCGTGGTAATAGTCATATAGTTCCATGCCCATAGGCAATCATCAGCCAACTATTTGAGCACTCTACCGAACTGGAAGACTCATTTTCCATTGTCCTCTTACAATACTTAGGAAAACCAGAGGCCACATGCCACGTACTGCTCTTTTCTCTCCGAAACTCAACACGTGCAAGCCAGATATTTGAAATTTCAATTTGTATTTGCTCTTACAATACGATCATAAAATTGAGAACTTGTTTGCTTGGTCTACATCTGCCTCTCCTTATTGGATGCGCTCCGTTCATTGTTATGCTTATGTGTCCACTGTTCGTGTACATTGTTCAGGAGGGCGTTATAAGGGTATGTTCTATGGAGATGTACCACAACACTTCTAGAATGGGCTCACGAGTGTTCACTAGTTCGTGTCACAGGAAAAACTACAAACTTATACTAGATTGGACACGTGCCTATGATCCGCATGATGCCTATAGTTTTTGATGGCATATGGACAGAGCCATGAATAAATAAATATCAGTATAACACAGCAAAGAAGAGCCTAGCAGGGTTATATTGTGTGTTCGGTAAGTTATTTTAGGTATAACTTGAGCAAGCTGTGAACTATCCAATGCAGGCTGCGGCTGTCTATAGTCAGTTTCAAAAAGATTAGCAATCCTGGCGATCGCCCGGGGAGTTTGCCGTCTTACCGTATGACGGCTCGAGCGCTGCCTGGAAAAACTCACTGTGAACTCGAAGAAATATTCCGCGCGAAAGCATGAAAAATGACAACTCACTGACGTCGGTACTCGCACATGTTCCTCTGGTTTACAACAAACGAGTTCTTCCTCGCATCGATATGGAGTCAGAGAGGACATGTCGAAAGTGTGGCAAATTTTGACGAGCGGGATGCGTCCGTTTTGTGACCAAATAGATTCTTTGAGCTGCCGCGGATGCAATTTACTCTCACGATGTGACGAAAACGGCATCGACACAGACTCATTCCCAAGGCCTTGAAGTGGCAAAGCTATCCGTGTGACTTCGACGACATTTTGAGAAAAGCAGACGCCTGTGAAAGCTGATAGAAGATAGCGTTGACTCCTAAATTCAAATAAATTGGTGATCTTCAAATACTAAAATAATTCTCAAAAAGAAATCCATCGATCGATGTGCCGGTGTATTCAACAACACGTATACGTAGCTACAGCGCAATGACTTCCGTGTTCACTCACACGGTTTCAGTGTTGTGTGTGTGTTCACAACTTCACATGGCGTGAGCCAGTCAAGTGTCAGTCAGTTCGGCAGGAAACGCGAGCTCCAACAACAAGTCGTTTGGCGCAGCCACCTAATCCTTCTTTGTCTTGTACCAGCGTGATCACCAAAACAATGAAAAAATGAAGAAAAAAAGTTTGACTTGAAGATTTGTTGGGATTTGAACTCACAACTTCATGGTCAGCAGACAGCATTCATAACCACAAGGCCAAAAAGGAAGTGATAAATCGTGGGTTTTGATAACAAATCGATACTGGCTTCCAGGGCAAATTATAAACCATGGGAAAAGGCCAGAAACCTGGCCGAAATACTAACTCCTTAATGGTTGGTTCAATTGTTCCGAAACCTTCACAGAACAATTTGCCGTGTCCTAACAAGCCGTTTTATGTACTTTGTTGTCCAAATTTCCCTTATCTTCATACTTTTTAAGACCCAAACTTGATTGCTAATCTTTTTGAAACAGACTGTAGAGTATCAACTTCAGGACGTAGCAAATCCCAGAGCTCCACCAATACCATAATACAGTGTGCTCTACTCCTCTCTTTACTCTGTGTATAGGCTCCTACTCGCCCCGTAGAGTACCTACTATTTGTGGGGATGGGGGGGGGGCTCTGGTTGTGTATTTGAAACCCTTTTGCAAGTAGAACAGTATACCAGTGAATAGCTGTTTGACCTGAATTAGATTCGTCAACACTTCTGTCACATCCGAATTCACTTTTCACACTTTCTCTTTTCCTATTGTCCATACACAAAAAATTAATAGGAGATTCCCTAGATAGGCATCAGGAGTTTGGGTTATCCTGAAACGAGAGAGCTTGGAAGCTCAGAGCACTACGCTATGCCTTTACGGCTACAATACCCAACCATACCACAACGAACTGATCGGCTACATCATTGTATGGCAAAAGGTTTCCATCTGTTTGAATAACATGCATGATGAGCTACAATGTAGGCAAAAAAGCATAGCGTAGGGCCCTGAGCGAAAGAAATAAACTTTCTCTTTGCATTCGAGGGTAATACGACACCGTCTACCACCTTGATGACCCAGGCAAAAAGCAATGGGATGTTATGAATATTTCATTTCTCCTGTTTGTTTTCTCACGACATAATCTGGGATTCGATTCCGCACTATATCCCTGTATGCATTCCCCCATACACTGCGGATACATACAGTAAACTTCGCTAATAGCGACTACGGATATAACGACAATTCGCGAATAACGACAGAATTTGCATGCTCAGATCGCGTGCAGAGTAAAGTCCCATCCCACTGTAATACATAATGAGACCTCGGGTATAACGACACTTCGCGAATAAGGACGCCTTATTGATGCCCTGCCGAGTGTCGTTTTAAACGAAGTTGACTGTACTCATTCTTCCAAGTTGCTTCACGTTATGATCTAGCATTTGAAATCCCTATTTGAATATTGTAGCCAGCTGTGGTTTATGGTACAGTACGGGACAGGTACGGGATAACGTATTTTGCATACTAGTAGCTACGGGAATCAAGACTATTATTTGTCAACGCATTTGCAATGAACCGACTCTGCACAGTTACATAGCACCATGCCCAACACCACAATATGGCTCGGGGGTTGCAATCAAAATTCAGGTTGTTCCACATGGATCAGTTGATCTCCGGTTTTGGCGCTCTGAGGACGCAGGGCGTACACGTACTCTGTATTGCATGGTGTCCTGTCGTACATGCAGCTGGTGACAACTGACACATTCATTGTACTGTTTATTCAAGCATGGTTAGCTGCACACTCTGCACACATCCCGTTTAGTCACAATTAGTCACAAGATGCATCTTGTTTGACCTACCAGGCTCAACAGCTTGTTCCCAATGATTGACTGTAAGGCCATACAGTCACCTCAAACCATACTCCATGATCAGCAAATCCATATCATTATAGCGATATTACCATGTGGTCAAGGTACAGTAACAGAAGTGTCCAGGAACGGCCAATCGGTCCTTCGGTTCAACACGATTGCCAAAATTATTTAGGTACGTTATAAGTTTCCTTGGTCGACCAGACTGAAAACATGATGGGCAATTCAACGATCAAGCGTTGAATACCAAAGATGCTAGGTACCTGTATACCCAAACAGCATACAAAACGCATTGCGTATTAAACTGTTCTCATCTACCCCCAATTTATTTATTTATTTATACAATTTGCCATAAGCCTGACCACATACTTTATTATTTTTTCGCCCTGGTTGCAAATTATTTTAGTGCTACGCAGTGTAAGGATAATTTCTGCCCTTGTCATAATACACCACATGTAAACCAGCCGCGTTATGGATCACACCTTTACAGCTGGCTGATGGCTGCTGCACGCAGGATTAATAATTCGACGAGACAAGCCTGTTTTCGTGTCAGTTCCTCTACTATACTAAGTGATCGCCATAAGATAAGACGACTGCAGGATTTTCAATGCACAAGCAAGTCCACAAAAAATCGGTTTAGGGAGATCTTCATCATTTCCAGTGATACTTTGTTCGTCCAGATCACAACACCTATTATGCTCGACTTTGGAGGCAATAAATGACCCTGTGACAGGAGCCGGTATTGACCATGCAGATTCTAGTGGCTCTATTCCTATCTGGTAAGACTGGTATACTGTTCTATCTAGAGATTAGTCATCTGAATCGTGATCGAGGCAGTTACCACTAACCTAGGGTTAGACTACATGTTTGGCAGCATTTGGAGTGATCCAGAGTGCCTACATCATGCATTACTTAGCGATACCTTAACTGCTACCGTTCAATCTCCGAAATTGCCTAGAACCCCGTGCACAGCGTTCAGCTTCGGAAATTTCTTCCAAAGTGCCCAGTTTCAAACTTTTCTAGATTCTTGGGCCAATTTTATACCGTAGATATATGACCCGCGCTCTGCGAAAACCGACCTTAGGTGCTTCGTAATTTTTTCGAGAAAAAGAACAAAACGTCACGATCTGTCGATTTTTGAAGATTACAAGGTAAGAGTCATGGCGGAACGAAGCAGAAGACAGTCGCTAGCTCAAATTGCTGTGGGCTTCTCTCCCGAGGTTTTAGCCGAACTCCTTCACGATGAATAGTCATTTTTTGGCCTGGTCCAATCGCAGTTCTGATGACAGCAGTGCCGAGCAGAGTCGGGTGTGGAATCGCAGGACGTAACGCTGATCGAGCTGGACGGTGATGCGGAGGAGAATTTCGATCAGGCGTCGTTTCTGCCACCAGCCCAGCCCCTCAATGCCGGCAATAAACAGAGTGCAGACCAAGGAAAATCGGTTCAAGTACTGTCTACAATCCAGGAGGCGGGTGAAAAGTTTGACAAGCACTGTAGGTGTTCCGCACTGGTGCTGTTTCAAGAGCGTGACACTTGAAACCTTGCTTACACTTACAGCACACACAGCGCAGGTCCTGATCAAGACAGAGCGCTGCTTGTGTGTAGGCTGAAAACTAGACGTGCTCAGGAGACGTGGTGAGGCTACCCAGCTAGCGCGTCCAGGATGCTGGGAGGTATGATAGATGGGGTTCAACAATACTACTCTGAACTACTGAAGTACTGTCAGTGGCTGGTGTGGAAGTCATGTACATGCATGTCAGGAAGTCTTTGTGTATGCCTCCAGGATCAAGGCCTGGGTGCTGAAATCTGTGCAGGCTGCTGTCAGTGCAAGTGAAATCAGCCCAACACAGGAATTGAATGAACTCTGGAATGCACTGCCTGTGGAAGATGTTGTGGAGCTGAAGCATTTTATAGAGCATTATGCTATGCTAGCATTATGCTATAGTTCATGGCCTCCCTTAACCTGCGGCTCCACATGGGCACAACAAGCCAGTACCAACCTACATGTATTTGCCCAGTATCACTACGAGGAAGCTTGTTCACCAGGCGTTCACAAACCCTGGTGGCAAAGCTGCATACAGTACGTTTGGCAAGATTTGGAAAAGAGACTGCCATGATTATCACCGATTACGAAACAATGTGTGCGGCAGATGTAGACATATCTAGATGTTCTAACTCTCTCTCTTTTTCTCTCTCTTTTTCTCTCTCTTTCTCTCTCTCTCTCTCTCTCTTTCTCTCTCTTTCTCTCTCTCTTTCTTTCTCTCTCTCTCTCTCTCTCTCTCTCTCTCTCTCTCCGCCATTCCTCTCGCCCCCTCTCCCATGGTGCTTGCTGTGTACGCCGATCCCGAGACCCTTGGTCGGGGGAGTCCACTGCATCTCACCAGCGCAGCTCATGTAGCGCCTACACACCCATTGTTGTCTTTTTTGTTCCGTCTTCGTTTTGTCTTCCCCTTCTTCCGTAGGTATGTGCAATGTGATAAAAAAAAATTAAAAAAAACCGTACCAGATAAAACTATCAATATCCTTTAACCCGGCATTGATCCTAGCTTCTTCACTACTTTGCACCTGCCTCTACGCATCACTCTGGCTGGCATATCCTCAAACAAAGCCAAATACCTCTTCCACCAGATTCGTGAGCAACACCATCCACAGAACAGAGATAGAATGTGTCTATCTCCACAACAGGAAGATCCAATGCCATCATAAACCTTTCCTTTTGAGGATTATGACATACAGGTTTAATCTGCAAAGTTTGGTTGCAATCATGCTGCTTGAATTCTCACAGCATTGGTTCCAAAATGTAACATAAAATCCTGGATTTTTGCTATTATTCCTCCAAATATTGCAGGAAAAGTGCAAAGAAATTGTCATAGTATCTAACTGAATATGTATGCAATCCACGTAAAACTTCACCAGAAGTTGAAGAAAGGGTGATGGGTCAACAATCCAGCACAAACTCAATTTCACTAAAGTAGCACCTAAGGTCGGTTTTCGCAGAGCACTGGTCATATTGTTCATGCCCATTGGAATATCCTATTCAATATTAACTAGACTGATGAATTCCTGGTGAGTGGAAAATCAGTCAGAAGGAATATGAGTGACAAGAGCAAGTAGCGTTGTTGGGACTGCACGGTGTGGGCATATACTGGCTACTGTGAGTAGCGACTTGCCGACTGAGAGCTGATGACACAGAAGAAGTTGTTGCAGTATCCAAAAATCTGTTTGACTTAAATTGCATGTAGAGACTTTAAAGTCGTATGGCCGCAAATTGTGTGCCGTCACGAAGATCATGCTAACCATAACACACCTGCGGCTGAGTGGTGTCGATCTCACCACGCAACTGTGTCCACGTCTTGGAAGTCCATGGTCGTTATATCCAGTTTCAGATGAACGGAACCCATGTGATGAAGTATCCGGCAACACAGCATTCTATGTGAATTGCCTTTGAAACAAATAAACTCCCACTGGTGTAATGATTGCCTCGCGGCATGACACACGGCGTCATAACCAACCTGAACTCCCCGTGTGAACTGCCTGCATTTAGGTTTGTGTCCACATGTCTTCTCTTGGGCAAACGTTTAGAAAATGTTTATTCAAATCGATAAGTAATAGCTCTAAGAGACTCTTGGTTTAATTTATGTAGGGCTATGTGTAATCGTTTCCCATGGGCAACAGTGTTACACAAGGCGATGTCCAATGAGAGTCTACTACCAGGAGCAGATGAACTTTACCAGCGCTGGTGGAGTCTTGTACTACAGTGGGTCAACCAAACATTACTCGAAGTGGCGGGAAGTGGCCAGGGGCCAGACAGTCTCTGCTACGTTTACGCCTTCTTCATCATGCAACATGGTAGTACGGTATGTGAACTTCTACATTAAAGATGGATCAGCCTGTCAAATAGATATTCAAATTATCCGCGGACCCAATATGGAAACGTGGCACCGCGTCTCTTATTGTCGCACCAAGAACAATTCATGTCTTCGATGGCATGTTCTGGATACACTGTCATCTGATCTAAGAGAACAGTGTCCAACGCCATCTCAAGTGAAAGTCTTCATCAAACCATTGTTGACGAGAGGTACAGTTCGCCAGTGCCATATCAGTGCAAACAGATACAATCTCCCTATCATCCGTCTCTTCATGGAATGTAAGTGACCACTGGTAACATTGTAACTCATTTGAGAAAGTGGAAATTTTCGCAAGGATGACAACAGACCCACGCGGTTTTCAAGTAGTTTGGGTTTGTGCCAATTTGCAGTATTCGGCCAGGTGAGCATGTGATTACTCTCCTTAGGTGTAGCACATCCACAGGGGGGGGGGGGGGGGAGGTGAACGGGGTTGAGCATTTACGATTGGCCATTAACAACTTAGTTACTCCATCCAGGGATGTTGCAAGCTTCAGTCATGAGGGTAGATACCAAAACAACTAAGCTGAAAGTGTGAAAAATGGGAATATAATATTTATGAATAAGCCCCGGCTCAACAATGGAGCTTTAGGAGGCTAAATTTGTGCTCCCAGAATACTACAAGATGTAGTGCTCTCCAAGGCAAAACATCATTGGAGAGACAAAGTTGTAGTGACACTCCATTTCCAGCGCGCAAAACACATCGCGAACACCAGGCAGTTGAGCAGCATGAGTCAATGTCTCTCATAGCGGTGCTGAACAAACGCTCAGGACGGTTGAAATGGAGTGTCACTGTTTTTTGGGGATTAATAGAAATGTTTGCTGGCTGGATGAGTACTGAATGCAGTCAGTGCAGTGGTCTCGGAGCACAGATTTCATTAGCCTACTCAAGGGGAACTGATAAAGGGGAAACTTCCTCGAAACACTGTGTATTGTTCAGGGTGTGGTGATTTCTTCGAGGTTTGCGAGTGGAATATTCGATGGATTTTTCGCCTCCTCAGGAGGGGGAATTCCCCGATGCACTGTGCATTTAGCAGGGAGTGGTAATTTCTTGCAGGTTTGCGGAGTGAAAGGTTTGTTTGACTTCTCGTCTGCTCTAGATGGCAGTCGTGAGTCAGTCAGTGGGATTTAAAGTCGGCAGGAAAAGCGCGAGCTCCCACGTAGGAAGCGACATATACTTCTCCCAGTTTCGCCAAAGTCGAATCAGCCTTCTCTTCACCTTGTTGAGCTAGACGCTCAAGAAGAAAAAGCAGACGACATCACTTGGATGTAAGGTTCAACGGAAGTTGCGTTTCTGGAAGCAATTATGCCGCTTCATTAAAATATTTAATTTCCTTCGAGGTGTTAACAATATTTGGATGGATCAAGATAAGGCAAATAGATACGAAATACAATTTGTTTCATAAAGGAGGAACAATTGTACCAAGTGCTAAGACACTGGGCAAAGGTGTGGGAATGGAACATGGGTAGCGTTCATCACGATCATTTTATGCTCCTGACTTTTAAAAAGGTGTTGATGAAGCCGTTGTTTGTAGCAAAAGTGTGATCCCATGTATTCTCTTAGTTATACTTCAAAGCCAGTGATGGATTTGCCTACCCCTCCCGTGCTGACGTTGAGCCCGTTTTGCGTTGTCCCTAACACCAGCCACTCAGCCTACGCCTCATTTTTACTATCTATTTTTTACGTTTCGCTTCATAAGGTTTCTTGGCAGTCCCCTTATCGCCCACATTTTCACTACTCGAAATGATACTACCCTCACGCCACCTCCCAAACCAGAGGCCAAATATTCAGTAGTCTCTTTCCTCCCCATTCATACCTGGGCCAGTATGAACAGTCTCTCATGTCTTGGTGCTGACCGCTTTAATGCACTACCCGCTATCATAAATTCCGTGGATACCTTGCCTGGTTTTCGCGCTACCTGCTTACAAGTTCTCCTTGGGTACCCTGTAAGAAGGCCTGTTAGGTATACCCAAGTAAAATAACAAAAACTACTACAGTATAACCCAGTGATAACCCAGAGACATGATATTCATAGAATTTACTGAATTTTGTGCATATGCGGCCCTTATTCATAACATTTCTGCAGACACTACAGACGAAGAAACACCTACTCTGGCATCTACCGGTACTATACGCGGACCTGTTCCAACTAGGTTCAAAGCCAATCCTACTACATCGAGAAAAGTGCTCACAACCTCTGGATATGGTTCTTTAGCAACCAGCTACATACCTAACAGATCCACCATGGATTTGAACACAACAAAATCCACAATTGAGGCGTTATCCGCACACTCGACAACAGATGAGGAAATGGTCTTGACAACACTCAATGCAAAATCAGGTACGAGGAATTTTGCACTCGATTATTTAAGCGTCCGATTCTCCTACCTTATTGTCTATGTCCAAAGCCAAAAACTTTCTTCCAAATTATTTTCCACTCATATTTTTGGGAATGCAACAATAACAAACCTGACTGCAAACGAACAGAAAAAAGCGCGCTTATTTCAATACTGTCTTCATTCGCACCAAATACAGAACACGACATTATGAATTCCCCATCTTTGGCAAATCTACTCAACTAGGTACTGCTTCTTCGTCTTTGATGCAAAATAAGCAACATCTGGTTGGTATACAAAAATCCACATGGAGATAAAAGTTTAACAATGGCTATGGAAAGTATGAATGCTGCAGATCATGCAACATGACAATTTGTTCGAAGATTGAAATATTGTGCTTCCAGAATCGATTTTCCAGCTACGATCATCCGTGAAGATACGGAATTAATGTGATCAAGTGAAAAATCAAGGTTAAAAATCCAAGAAAATGTGACAAATGTTGCATAAGTATTACAGTCAGACATCGCTTGTACGGTCTAGATCCCTCACCCTCCAGAAGAAAATCGTTGGTTACCTATTTACAGCATATGCCACGCATACATACGGATATGTGTTAGAATATCAGGTCCCCCGCATCTCCGGATATTGTGTGGTAATGGATGTGTGCGGTTAAACGATGTCTCACTTTATAACAATTCAAGACTAAGATAAAGATAGAATGTCAGTGTGACAAATGGACGTGAAAAGCAGAAACAACTCGTGAACGAGGGGTGTAGACTCACGAAAAACCTACGTGCTACAACATGTTTGTTTCCCTACAAAGATCAGGCTTATGCGTACGAGAACAAAAAGCTTCAACGAACTTCACCTGCTGGACATAACGGGCACGACACAGTACAGATAAGTGGGAATCGTCATACACGCTCAAACAATCGGGAAGAGATAGCAAATACCAAAATACAGATGACTTATTACGGACTTCACCCTCATCAGCTCCATCATCTTCCTTGGAACCTGACTCGTCATTAGGCTTTCCCCAAATCGGCTAGTTTTTTCGCCTATCCGGCTTTTGCTTAGCTCAGAAATACATCAGATTCGGCTGCAAAATGAGCTGACTGTTCGAAATTCGGCAGCAAAATAGGATTATATTGGAAAATCGGCTAAACCCGTGTTGGCATATTGGCTTCAACATTCGTGAGATATTGGAAATGCAGCTCTGCTAGATAGAAATGGCCACAGCTGTACGTTGTGGGGTAGTATTGTACCAATAACGATCTTCCTAATGGGTAATGTTCGTTTGAGAAAAGGTAAAAAGGAGAGGAGTCACAGGGCCTCAACGCACTAGTACTACACGTACTGGAGTAGAGAACGCGAGCGGTCATGATTGCAGCTACATCATTCGTTCGTAAACTTGGGGAACTTGGTCCGCGGCATCGTTATTCAACTAATCTTCACCACCAGTCAGTCTCATACCATCTGTGTTCCCCTTGCTACGTCTTTCCCGCGCCTCTATCCGCAGCTTATCAACGTCTCCAAATTGTGTTTCATTTTTTTCTTGCTTCTATAATCCTTCGCTGCTCCACGTAGCCCTTGGCCTTTTCTTGAACATATTTCCGTTGTGTAACTCGCAGTCGATCTGCGCAGTATGTGGACCAATAGCTAAAGCGCTACAGTGTGCTGCAGCGCCCGAGCAACCAGGTACGATGAAAAAGATGTGAGTTCAATTTCTGTGATTGACGGTACTGTCGCTGTTGCCGACTCCACCCCAACCCAGCGACCAACGGCACTGGTAGTGATGCCCGTGGCGGAAAGAGCAATCGCTGGGAAGACACATTCAGTTGGCTTAGCCATCCACCCCTCCTCGTCCTCACTGTGTTTTCAACTCACTCCGGCTGTGTCAGCGGTAGAAACGAAACACAACTTGGAGACGCTCATGAGCTACGGACAGATACACGGGAAGAATGTTGATGAACGGGAAAAAACACTTACTTGGGTTTTAAACCTTTGTTGTCCATTTTAGTTCCGTACTTCCACTGATGATCGGAGCGTGAAAATCGATTCTGGAAACACAAAATTTCAAACTTCGAACACATGTAATGTTGCAGAATGAGGTTTGCGGCATTCATACTTTAAAGCGACGTGTAGTATCAAACTCGTTGATAGAATTATATCTGCAAATAGACAGTCAAGTGACAAAATTACCCCACTAATGACGCAAATTTTCTTAAAATACACCTCAGCTTAATGTTATAACCTTCTATTACTCTCTTTTTAACCTGCAGATTTCAGTGAGTTCCGTATCAGTTCCAGCGGAAACAGTAACAATACTGGATCGTCTAATAGACCAACATCATTGCCACAGAGAGACGATTCCGATCCCAATGTACCATCAACGCAAACAAGGACTACTTTGCGAGACTCTCGTGGGCAATCCTCACTCAGCCAAGATGCCATAGTAGGCATTTCGTTGTCAATCATTGCTAGCGGACTCCTATTGGCAGCACTCGTACTACGTAGGTATCGATCCCCCAGGAGGAAAACGGAAAGCAGGACATCGCCCAAAGTTGCTAATGCGGAACACAGCGATTTAGTAGACTGTCCGGATGGCACTGGCACCAGCACACAGGAGATTGCCATTTACGAGACAGTGCCAAATGATGCCTCGAAATGCTCCGAACAGTCAGGAGCAATGATGGGTAACAACCAGTCCATTGTTCCCATGTATGAGAGCACTGCGTATGTCAGCATCACCAAGAAATCGTGTGACCTCACTGGAAATTCTGCTTATGGAACCAACTCAGATACGAAATAAATAATACATGTCACTTTTGGCATGCCCAATGACAGTTGAATTGGCGTCTTTCTACCCACCATTTTGCTTTGCGACGTGCATTCATCACGTTTCCAGTCTTAACACTTCCTTCGCATATGCATGGACCTCTGTCCTCACCGTTATTGTATATAATTAAGTAGTTCACACTACTGATAAGGGTTAAAGTGCATAGTTCATTTGTCGAAATTTTACACTGCAGTGTATGACATGATAGTAGATTTGCATATCTAGGCTTCTCACCATAGGATCATAAAATAACACTGCATTACACTGGATTTACCGGGTGTTAGAGGCCGTTGTGAGTTTCCGTCGGGAACGGACAAGATACTTTTTCACTTTTTTAACAACTTGGATGCTATCAGTATGTTACAATTTCACTCACGTTATCGCATACATTCGTTTCACTCCCATAATTATAGTTTTGGCTCTCACTTTCCTGTAGTATTCGACGTGCAGAGACACTTTTCGCTTTCAAGGAGGCTTTTTCTGAAAGAATGCTCTCTAAGGCTTCAGTTCTTGCTTCGAGTGTGAACCTTATTTTGGCCGTCACAAGAATTCAGCGTATTCTTGCAGTTTTTTTCTTTTGTTTCGGCTTGTATTGGACCAATTAGGCATGTTTATACTTCAGTAAGTTTGAACTGAATATGTCCATGCGTTATGAAAATATTTATATGTTCCCAGAAGGGAACTTTGGCCGGATCGCATACCAAAAAGACCCTGGTTTTCATGAAGGGAAGATGCAATTATGATATAATGGATTATGTTGCCTTCTAAGTGTTTGTGGAGCAATGCAAACATGAACAAGCAGTAATGTAGAAGAAAAATATGTAATAGTCGTCAAGGAGTGTCCAGCAATGTTTCTTAGTGTTTTCGTCTACTACCGTTCGCGTCTCGAATACACCGTGGTATTCGATCCACGATCGAAATGCAGTCGAACTCCACACTTAGAACAGTAACATATCGTGGTTTGTCTGCACCATTTAAAACGACATTGTGTTGTTCACATTCTGTTTGTCAAACGCCCTTGTATTGCACATCAACAGCAAGACACTGGTGGTTCTGGGCGGGATCGGCTATAATAAAATAGGACGTCGATCTCGGGATGAAACTGGATGTAGGACGTCGGCTTGGGGCTCGTCGCTGCTTGAAAAATTGGCACTCTCAGATCAGTTGTAAGACTGTGGAGCCAGACAAAAAGAATTACACTGAATCTCTCAAGATTATAGGTCTCCGATCTAATGTGGGCCTTGTCCGTATCGCGGGTATCGCGCGGTACTTACTCTTCAAATAGTGTTTAGAGATGTACAGGGTATGTATATCTCGCGATTGGCAAGTTGGTAATGCTGTAGTGATCTCGTGGTGATCGTGAACGGATTTGTCCAGTTCAATTTCAGGACGCCTATCGTAAACACCAGACTCAACACACTCAACGCGTTGCTCCAGCGGGTTGGTTTTTTTTTTGCCGTCGTACTCACTATCAACAGGACAGGCACCGACATCATCATCCTCTCCATTCGTCACCTGGTAGTTGTCTAGGTCAATATATCTTGCAAGTTCGATGAAACCCTTATCATCCGTTGAATCATCTGATTACTAATCTAGTTCATCGTCCATGTTCAGATCAACGAGAGTGGTGAGCACACATGCTCTTTCCCTGGGCACAGCAAATTCACTGCATCAGAATCACTGAATCATAAGCACCTTGCTGTGAACTGAGTTGTGAATGTGCGGTGCTCAGGGAAGGAGCAAGTGTGCTCACCACTTCTTTTTGAGTTATGAAGCTGCAGGATGCCTTACCCCTATAGCGCTTACGTTGAGATTGCCAGTAATCGGTGGCGCTATGACTAGGTCCTGAAGTGTGTTGGAGTTCTCAACACTGATGTCCTTAGCTTCCATTGGAATCACTTTTGAGTCCCTTTCCAGAAAGGACTCTGCTACTGTAAACATGTCCCTCTGCCATACCTAATTACAGGTAAAGCGATATTTTCTGACAAAAATGCAACTGCGTGGAGGAAAAAATCATCGAAAGTCCAGGAGAACGGCATAAAGCATCCATACCTTGCTGAACATTGTTCAAGTGAATCTTGTTAACCGCAATCAGTAATACAAGCTGGATCGACATTTGTGTACACTGTATTCATGTATTGTAAAACTGTGGAGACAATGTGCAATAAAACGATGAAAAATGTGAAGAAATTGTGTAGAGAAAGAAAGGGATTCAAACAAGTTTTCGTACAACACTCATCAGGAATCGTCGTTGTACTAAAGGACACTGAAACAAAAATTGAACTATTATAGAAAATCTAAGTTAGAGAAATAACACTAAGAGCAACAACAGTGAAATTTACAAGTGTGAATTTTAACAATCAAAGCGAGAAATGAACAAAGGAGAAAGGAAGGAAAGACAACGTGATAACACATAACAGCAGTACATTACACCTAGAACATTAACGGTTGTCTCCTCGCCGTTTGAATCTTGTTAGACAAAAGAAAGCCTACTTCAGAAGTATATATCTTTGGAGACTGTTTAGCAATCTTTACTTTGGCAAATGTCAGGCTCCCAAAGCTTTGCTGTATTCCGCATGCTAGTGAATCACAAATATATGACCAATTTTGTTACCATGGAGACGGTCCAATCACCATCAAAACATCAAAAAGGCTCCATCAGTTATTAATCCACGTTTACGGATGTTACAAACAAGGCATATGCGCTAGATATGCTGGTTCCTGAAATCTGGTGAAAAGGAGGTATATCCGGGTTTCGGATCAGGCCAATGTTTCCTTTTGGGAACATCGAAGAAAGACGGCGGGTTTCTACGTGCTATGGCCAAATTTTCGGTAAATCTTCAGGCCAGTTGGTTGTCCATAGTAGCAGAGTGCACTTCTTACGTGTGGATTAGTCTGATAAAGACTGTTTTTCACAGCAGAATTCTCAATTTCTGAAGTACGGCCGAATACCGGAAATTCACGACATTTCGCGTTATATCCCGATACTTGAACATTTCAAAAGCCTGACAAATATTCCAAGATTCATGATCATCAGCCTTCTAGATATGTATATAAACAGAAAATGCGGAGGAAAAATGAATTTCCCTTGACCAAATCGCATGCGGAAAGATATGTTCCCTTTTGGGAACATTGGCCTGATTAAGGTTTAAACCGTATTGTCCACTGGTCTTACCCGCTGGTTATCCTATCAAGCCAGCATTACGCGACGCCTTGGAACGTAGTTTAACTGATGTTTGGCTCGATGGCACTCACTTCCTCCATATTGCAATTATCACTGATATCTAACACTCCGAGTCCGAAGGCCGTTGGTTAGCGTTGTTTAGCAGTATTCAAGCTCACTTTCATGTCGTGGAACGGTTTACTACCCCTTGACAGTCTGTTGATACTTGTACCTTTTGCACGTCTGATTGTTCAAAATCTGTTTTAGTTGGTGGACCTGGCGAGTGTCTTGGTCCTCGCTGTTTTCCTTGTAAGTTATTCAAGACTTAATGCGAATTGCAGATGCAACAAAGAGACATTTCCCTATTGCTTATTCAGCATTACTAAATTTACTATCCGTTCTTGAAGTGAATAAATGCGACGATCATTACAGTCTCAGCATACTGATTCTTTTTCTCCAGTAATGACCGTGAGGTCTTTCAAAATCTCAATCCACTGCCAGCTGCTACATCGTATTCCATGGCTTTGCACATTACAGTGTCAGCTTCTCCGTCACCAGCAAACTGTGTTGCTGCAGGCAGGCACCGGGCTGCTGTGAGGCTCTCATCCTTGCCACTAGCATTGGGATCGGGACACAATGTGACGTCTTGCCACGATCACTATGCGAGATGGCCGTGTGGAATGCGGCTGAAGTGCAGGTTTTTGGGGTTTTCATTGGGGGTATAGTGGTCGTTCTCTGTGCTGCATAGAGCTGGCCTTCTTTGGACTACCGTAATGTCGCGTGCATAAGCCGGATTTGTGCATAAGCCTGTCTCGTGTAGAAGCATGAAATCTGCAACAGCTTTTCGCGTACAAGCCTGTCGCATGCATAAGCCGGGCCAGTACACGAGACGCGCCACGTGTCGCGTGCGTAAGCCGGGCTACAGTGCCTCTGAGGAAGACAGTGACAGTGCCTCTGAGGAAGAAGGACAGTGATGTTTCATACTGAACTGCTTTCTTTCTTGATCTTGCTAATCAAGTCAGTGTTACACAATTGTTTTGTTTCTGCACACTTCTACTGAACTGCAATTGCAAAACAATATCACCTACCGGTACCTTCTGGGTACCGGTACCCGTAGTATCTTTGATAGCCGTGTCGATAGCTGACACTTGTCTCACTCTGTGCGTGCACATCCTGTTGCTTGCCTCTCATTCTCACGGCACCATGTACGAGCATGTTCTTTATCATCGTACTCCACACCTCATGACCTGAAAAGGAGTTGAACTCTACTGTGAAGCTGCTGGTGTTTGATGAGTTGGCTTGTTCGTTTGTGTGTGTGTGTGTGTGTGTGTGTGTGAGAGAGAGAGAGAGAGAGAGAGAGAGAGAGAGAGAGAGAGAGAGAAAGGAGAGGGGGGACGCGGTTCAGGGAGCGAAAAAAAAGAAAAAATATCCCGTTGGAAAATGTTGGTTTTGACGTCCAAAAGTCAGCAGTTTGCGCATACAAGCCTGGTCATTGAGTGGTGCTTGTCATATAAGCCTGTCTCGTGTATAAGCCTGTCTTGTGTACAAGCCTGACTCCATCACCGGCTTATAGGCATATAAGCCCCGGCTAATGCACGCGACATTACGGTACGTAACTTATGAGAGATCATCCTTCTCTGAACTATTTAAGCCGCATAAATATCGGCGTAACCGCCTTTCAAGACTCACTGGGTAGCGTGGGCAACAAGCAGATGTCTTCCCGGGAGACAGCTCGATTGTGGTCAGCTTGCACCACGTGGAATAACGTTTCCCAACATAAGATCTTGAAGGGAAGCGATCGTTACCACAGGATTGGATTGAGATTTGAATGCCAATGTATACCAGTGCATATGAATAGCACTTTGACAGCGTACAGCTCTTTGGACTGCATGGGATTTGTCAGGACCGAGTCTTCCACTTCCTGTTAACCTCTACATGTATGTCAATTCGTATGACCGATTATGGCAAAACCAGCTCCATTCAATTACAACGCATAGACCAATGACACAGACCACAGTATTGAAATACCGTAATGTCGCGTGCATAAGCTGGATTTGTGCATAAGCCTGTCTCGTGTAGAAGCATGAAATCTGCAACAGCTTTTCGCGTACAAGCCTGTCGCATGCATAAGCCGGGCCAGTACACGAGACGCGCCACGTGTCGCGTGCGTAAGCCGGGCTACAGTGCCTCTGAGGAAGACAGTGACAGTGCCTCTGAGGAAGAAGGACAGTGATATTTCATACTGAACTGCTTTCTTTCTTGATCTTGCTAATCAAGTCAGTGTTACACAATTGTTTTGTTTCTGCACACTTCTACTGAACTGCAATTGCAAAACAATATCACCTACCGGTACCTTCTGGGTACCGGTACCCGTAGTATCTTTGATAGCCGTGTCGATAGCTGACACTTGTCTCACTCTGTGCGTGCACATCCTGTTGCTTGCCTCTCATTCTCACGGCACCATGTACGAGCATGTTCTTTATCATCGTACTCCACACCTCATGACCTGAAAAGGAGTTGAACTCTACTGTGAAGCTGCTGGTGTTTGATGAGTTGGCTTGTTCGTTTGTGTGTGTGTGTGTGTGTGTGTGTGTGAGAGAGAGAGAGAGAGAGAGAGAGAGAGAGAGAGAGAGAGAGAGAGAGAAAGGAGAGGGGGGACGCGGTTCAGGGAGCGAAAAAAAAGAAAAAATATCCCGTTGGAAAATGTTGGTTTTGACGTCCAAAAGTCAGCAGTTTGCGCATACAAGCCTGGTCATTGAGTGGTGCTTGTCATATAAGCCTGTCTCGTGTATAAGCCTGTCTTGTGTACAAGCCTGACTCCATCACCGGCTTATAGGCATATAAGCCCCGGCTAATGCACGCGACATTACGGTATTCATTCAAACGGCTAAGTACACGTGAATCGGCTGACCTCCATTACTAGCCCCCACCGGATACTAGTACCAGTCTAGGCACACCCTGTACTGTACTGCATGCCGTTCTGTGGTGCTTGCAGCAGGTAGCAACTGGCACATCCATTGTATTCACGCATGGATAGGTCAAGTCAGTCTGCACGCATATCCCATAAAGTTACTATTAGTCACGAGATGCATGGGTTTACCAGGTACAGTCAGCGGCCGTCGTGAGCCCCCCCCCCCCCCACCCCCCGCACAGCTTCACAGCCTGTAGCTGACTGTACAGTTATACAAATATCCAACCCACACTTCATGATCAGCAAATTTAGGCAAAATACATTACTTCTGGTAAAATTGTGCCAAGGCGACGGCATCGTCCAGTGTCAAGGACTATTCATCACTGCCAATATAGAATGGCTGCCAAATCAGGAACTGTTCACGTTGCCTTGTTTGGCCAGAAAAGCAGATGAGTGTCAATCCGGTGCAAGGCTCATCGAACAGGATGAACATGTTGTTTCTATTAACGGAAACCACCCAGTGACCCATGAGTGCAGTATTCTATGATAAAACATTCAGTACACACAAGACTCAATAATACGCTAATCGTTCTACATTGCCATGACCATAGACTGTACTGTATAGTTTTAGTTTCTCCCTTCTGACTTCGTACATGATTTCAACACTCGCTTGTAGCAAACATCGCTAGCACCGTATCTGCCCTACATGCAGCGGGTCATGATGTAGCATGTGTCTATCAGCCGAGTTGCGGGCTTCAACCACAGCTGATAGTAGCTACACTCCGAATAATTCAGCGAGATCAAGTCCTGCGTTCTTGTCGGCTATTCTACTGCGCAACGTGTTCTTTATCACATAAAAAGCATAAAAGACCTCCGCTGCACTGGAACGTGAACGCAATACGTTTAGGCCGCACTTTCTATAGGCGCATCTTAGTGCTTCCACTGCTACGTTTCATCGTTGTTCTGTACAAAAAGCAACTCGAATGCTACCTTACCTTCTAATGAGCCAAGCAGCCGGTGACAGGAGACTGGAGTGACAATGAAGTTTCCAGTACCTCTAATTCTATCAGGTAAGACTAAAATACTTTTTGACAATAAGATTTAGACGGGGTAGAGTGTGTTACTCCCTACATGGAAGCTCGCGGTTTTTCTGGCGACTTTAGACGTATGGTGAAAAGAGCAAGACAATTAAACTTAGATTTAGACTTCCAACATGCAGGCGCAGTGAGAACATTTGCGACTTTGGAGAGAGTGGGTCGACCCAGGCAGCTGGTATGTAGACCGGTGTTGCTGTTGAATACATTTTCCGACTCTCCTTCGACCCCAGAAGAAGTGTCTTCGTGCACATACCTTGCTCTCTCCGCATATTATTATACCATTTCTAGAATGTGCAGGGGCAGTGGGATAAATGTAGTTGAAACTTTGGTTCTGTCCAGTCTATTCGTTTTCATTATCTCTGACACCAAGGATGCACCTTAGTTATCTTTTTGCTTCGACTGTTACTTCATGATTTCACGCGATTGGCCCAATTGGTGTTGTGCATAAACTCGTTCTCAAGTATTTCTCGTATAGTAATTACTTGTCGAATTGTCCGCAAACTCCAACGCAGCCACTTACATATTAAGGAAACTTCACTTCTCAATTCTAAAACTCCAAAAGCGCTCTTTTCATTGCGATTCAAATTCAAATTAAGATGTAAATTACATTAGCCCCATCCCTCACACAAACAAGTCAACAAAGAGGCATCTTTGGATTGAGGAGTGCTGGTTTCGAAACAACTGGCTTGAAGCTCAAATAGAGCTGGTGTTAGCTCAGAGCAGAGCTGGTGTTAGCTCAGAGCAGAGCTGCTGTTAGCTCAGAGCAGAGCTGCTGTTAGCTCAAAGTAGAGCTGCTGTTAGCTCAATGTAGAGCTGCGGTTAGCTCAAAGTAGAGCTGCGATTAGCTCAAAGTAGAGCTGCGATTAGCTCAAAGTAGAGCTGCTGTTAGCTCAAAGTAGAGCTGCTGTTAGCTCAAAGTAGAGCTGCTGTTAGCTCAAAGTAGAGCTGCTGTTAGCTCAAGGTAGAGCTGCTGTTAGCTCAAAGTAGAGCTGCTGTTAGCTCAAAGTAGAGCTGCGGTTAGCTCAAAGTAGAGCTGCTGTTAGCTCAAAGTAGAGCTGCTGTTAGCTCAAAGTAGAGCTGCGGTTAGCTCAAAGTAGAGCTGCGGTTAGCTCAAAGTAGAGCTGCTGTTAGCTCAAAGTAGAGCTGCTGTTAGCTCAACGTAGAGCTGCAATGCTAAATGGATGTAATATAGCGCAAGGCAGAGCCGCAGCAAATAGCTAGATAACACCAGTTGTGAGAGTGGACCCGATTAGTGGGTACGATAATTGTGATGGTGTGAATAAGTTGGATAGGGAAGGATGGTGGGAAAAGAAACACTGCTGAAGCACGATCCGTTGTCTGGAAGAGCACAACAGGGCAAGCAAGATTTGTTTTTCTTTTCCGCAAAATGGGCTGGTGCCATTTGTGATTACGCAGCAAAACAAAGCGCATGACGTCAGTCTTGAATGCAGTACAAAGCAATGCAGTGCAGTGTGTGCGCTAGTTCGGATTGTTGCTAACAAGTACTAGCACAGCTAGTACACCATTAGCCCCATCCCTCACACAAACAAGTCAACAAAGAGGCATCTTTGGATTGAGGAGTGCTGGTTTCGAAACAACTGGCTTGAAGCTCAAATAGAGCTGGTGTTAGCTCAGAGCAGAGCTGGTGTTAGCTCAGAGCAGAGCTGCTGTTAGCTCAGAGCAGAGCTGCTGTTAGCTCAAAGTAGAGCTGCTGTTAGCTCAAAGTAGAGCTGCGGTTAGCTCAAAGTAGAGCTGCGATTAGCTCAAAGTAGAGCTGCGATTAGCTCAAAGTAGAGCTGCTGTTAGCTCAAAGTAGAGTTGCTGTTAGCTCAAAGTAGAGCTGCTGTTAGCTCAAGGTAGAGCTGCTGTTAGCTCAAAGTAGAGCTGCTGTTAGCTCAAAGTAGAGCTGCGGTTAGCTCAAAGTAGAGCTGCTGTTAGCTCAAAGTAGAGCTGCTGTTAGCTCAAAGTAGAGCTGCGGTTAGCTCAAAGTAGAGCTGCGGTTAGCTCAAAGTAGAGCTGCTGTTAGCTCAAAGTAGAGCTGCTGTTAGCTCAACGTAGAGCTGCAATGCTAAATGGATGTAATATAGCGCAAGGCAGAGCCGCAGCAAATAGCTAGATAACACCAGTTGTGAGAGTGGACCCATGAAACCAGCACTCCGTTAGCTAAGCACTATTGACGCACAGCAAGGGTCAATTGTTGTCAGCACAGGCAAGCATTGTGCAGCTAGAGTTCAGTAGCTCATTACTCACCCAAGTTGGGGATCATGGCATCCATGACACGGCAGCAAGCCGAAACGATAGCTGGCGCTTAGCGCTTGTTGTAGTCCGGATGTAGCATAGACACGCATCGCTCTTTCCACTGACCTGCCACTCGGAAGAAGGAGTCGGAGGCACTAGCCATAGCAGCGGTGGTGGCTGTACCAATGTGGACCGAATGCCCGGAGTAGTTCGACTGGGATGGTACACCGGCCGCAGCGACAAGAGACCATACTGTTACTGTGAATGACTGCCTGGTCAGCTGCTGTCTGTTCGAGAGTACGAACAAGAGTTGCTCCGGTCCCTCGCGACGAGTGACAAATGGGTAGCTAATAATGGCACGGACCGGGCAGTACGGCGGTACAGACGGGCCAATGTCACTAGCAACGCCTTTACCGAATGGGTCTGTCTTGGATGAAAGCAGGAAGAGTTGCAGGCGTCCGTCACCAGGGGAGCTAGTACAGCCCCGTGTGATGCCATTAGTGAATTCAGCACACCAAAGAAATCCAAAGAAGCAGCATGGCGGCCTGGTAGAGCAGCTTGTCATGGCCATTCAGGATACTACTTTTCCGGCGTGCATCCGTCAGGTGTCGTAGGATTGGCATAGTTATAGGAAGGCGAGGGGTGAGTACAGCCGTACCATGGCATCGCTGCATGCCCTTCAACACCCTCTTCAGAAGCCACGCATCTACTAAGGGGCCGGCAAACCCATTCTCAAGGTGGGCTTTATGCACCGCACTCGCATACACAGATACAGTTCAGGGCACGCTGATCATAGTTCACGCATGAATGTGTGTCCAGGAACGATGACTCGGGCAGCAAAAGTGAGCTTCCCCAGGAGGGACTCGAGTTGACGCTGGCCGATGCTGCACTCGCTGATAGTAGCCATGAGTGGCGCATGGATCTCGGACAGCTTGTCCTCTGGTAGCCAAGCTTCGTGGCGCTCGCAGTCTAGGACAATACCAAGGAAGGTCAATGATGGTGATGGCCCTCAGTTTGAGCTGGGATGGAGCAAAGGGTGCCGAGATACGTGAATGCCCGGAGGGGGATGGTGAGTTGCTGGTTGGCTGCAGCCAAGCCAGTGGAGATATCGAGAAAGTCATCGAGGTAATGAAGTCGGTGATCTATAGCAAACTCGTGCTGCATGATCCCGTTGACTGCTGTGGCTACTGAGTCAAAGACGGCTGGGCTGGAGCGGAGGCCGAAAGGCAGAAAGCGCTCGTAGTAGTAGGAGCCTTCCCAGCGAAGTCCTGACGGCGGACTGGGATCTGCCGAAATGCACTGCGTACATCGAGCTTGGACAAATACACAGGCTGTGGGCATGACATGAATATGTTGATCGTGTTGTCAATGCTCGCGTAGTGCAGAGAGAGCGGCTCGGCAGGAATGCTGTCGTTCGCGCCGGTGCCTTCCGGACTAGACAGATGGTGGATCATTCGCAGCTTGCCGTTCTTTTTGGGGATGGCACCAATACCAGTGCGGCGCATGAACTGAAATGGAGGTGACGGAAATGGGCCTGTGGTCTCGCTGCGGGCGCAGGAAGCAGCTAATTGCTCGGATATAAATGCCGCGTGAGTGAAAGCCAAGGGTAGATTATTAGAGAAAACCGAAATGTCGTGTTGGCCGGCAGATCCAAGAGTAAAGCCACGGCGCAGGCCATGGAGAACATACGCAACACATGATTGATCTGAGTGGTTACGTAACAGGCGGGCAGAGTGGTCAGCTAGCAGTGTGGTGTCTGCAGAGTGTATAGGAAAGAAGCTACGTACCGAGTCAAGCGATTCAGTAGCCATTCTGCTAGGGGCGGCGGGGTGGCCGATTGGCTCCGCGCTGCCGCTGGTTGCACATGATGCATGGGTGGTCCTTGCCACACTGGCTGCAGGTGTGGGAGAAGCGGCACGACGACGAAGAACAGCGACCTCCATTGAAGTTGCGGCAGATTTCTTGGCCGTCTCTGGTATGGTTGCGACCACTGGAGGTAAATGCCGCTGGCTTGGGGACGAAAAGGACACAAACCGCCCCTGGATGGACCGTCTTACATTGAGCGCATTTTGGGTGTGCATGGCCTGTGACAGCTATCTGCCATAGGTTAACGTCGATGGTGTCCAACCTCTTCGTGCCTGGTTACTGGGCCACGAGCATCCGCAGCTGGCGGTCGTACTCTAGCCACGCGCTTGGGAAGAACTGGCGGTTAGCAGTCAGGATCAACTGCTGGTACGCAATCAGTGCGAAAGTTCAGCAGTGCGGTGTAGGGCAGCAGCCGTGATAACAGACATGTATGTGGTCCATGCCTCGAGCCGGGTAGGTACATGTATAATTATCGTGAACCTTGCGACGCACCTGCTTCGCGTCATCCGACTCAACGATATTTAGCTGGCTATCGTTATTCGGGCTGTGCGCCAGCCGGAATGTTGGGCCGGAAGTGTGCAAGAATTTCAGGCAACAAGCTTGAAAAATCTACGAACTCCCCTCGCAAAATACGTTCTTGCACAGCCTTGGGCACAGCTGGTGCAGGTGGCTGATCGGGTGGGTTACAGGAGATTGGCCTGGCGTAGTGGCGGCAGCAGCCGCATTGCCTTGGCCTTGGGTGAGGAGCGGCACAGTGCTCTCCGATAATAATAATTATAATGGCGGCCGACAAAGCCGACTACGCCTCGTCCCGTACGAGAGCGCAGAGATCCGTTGAGCCCGCGTCACCTGAGCTGGCGGAGGAGGCATTGGTGCCAGTCGGGCTTCTGGGCTCGCGAGCCGTGTCCGCACTGTCATATTGCTGGTTCTCCTGGCCGGAGCAGACCTCACTACCAAGGGCTAGTTGTGCCAGCAAACGGTCCTGTAAAATACTTTTACTAAGTTTCCTTTCGGATTCAAGCCGCGCTGAGAAGGCTCGCTGCGGAGGGCTTGACAAGGCATTGCCTTGACAGTGTCGACAGTTAGGTCAGACGTACTGAAGAAATACAGTGTCGAGGTGACACTCGGGCTGGCAGCAAAGCTACGAAAGGAAAAGAAACACTGCTGAAGCACGATCCGTTGTCTGGAAGAGCACAACAGGGCAAGCAAGATTTGTTTTTCTTTTCCGCAAAATGGGCTGGTGCCATTTGTGATTACGCAGCAAAACAAAGCGCATGACGTCAGTCTTGAATGCAGTACAAAGCAATGCAGTGCAGTGTGTGCGCTAGTTCGGATTGTTGCTAACAAGTACTAGCACAGCTAGTACACCAATAGATTTTGGGGCTTGGTAATGAATTACTCTAAAGACGGGCCAGGCCCGAACATTTGGTGCAAAGTAAATCTTAATTCTAAATTGCATCGCAGTGAAGGCCGAGAAGTGAAGTTTCCTAAATGACTGATTACTTCATTGTACCATCATAATACTTCGAAGTAGTTGCTTTGTAGTATAACTCTCAGGGTGATTGAGATTTCTGATGATAGTCACATCAACACGACGTTTCAATCCGTACATATTGTTCCTCTGGTTTCGTTGTATCAGTGCAGACGCATCATCTCTAATGATTTTAGGATTTGTGTCTTCTCGCCGACTTATTTTAACATTCCAATAGTAGTAGAGAAGAAGGACCAAGGTACTTCAGGTCACGCCATAATGTCCACCAAATTCTCTTCTACAAATTAAACATCGGCTCTCCATCCGAGTCTATTAAACTACTTCAGTAATATTGTTGTTTATATCCGCTGTGTAGGTCTGTGCTTCCTCGTTTTTGATGGGCAAGCGTGTAACCGAAGGCGATGTCAAATGATTGGTTCTAACGAGGAGCAGATCAGACTTGTTGAAACTCGTGGAGTCTTGTACTATAGTTCATCCACCAAACTGCGATCTAAGTGGCTAACAATTGTCAGCGGCCAAAAAATCTCCGCTACGTTCTCTCCAGATCAAAAATGCAACATGGTAGTACGTAATGTGAACTTCGTCATTTAAAAAGGAGGATCATCCTGTCAATTAGATATTCAAATCATCCGAGGAAACCAGACGAAAACTCGGAGAAACCACGCTTATTGCGGCCCCAATACAAAATTATGCCTTCAACTGGATGGCCTGAATAAAATACCATAATCTTAGACATCAGTGTCCAAAGCCATCTCGGATAGAAGTCTCCATCACGCCATCGGTGAACTACATGTGCCATGTTAGTGCAGACAAGACCAATCAACCGATCATCTATCTCTATATGGAATGTAAGCGAGTAATACTGACAAGTATTTCTAGTGCTCGTGTGAACTGTTAAACAACTTTGAATAGTTGACGAGGAGACAACAATTGTATTATCGCAATAAGGATGACTAGCTGAATTGGCATTGAGTTACTTTGAACGAACCTGGATGTTCCCCGCCTGAGTTGGCAAGGAGATACCAAGAGAATTGGTGAATTGGAATAAAGAAGCCCTGGTGTTACGATCATGACATCGTCGTTACGTGCAGGACACATCCACATAATAGCCAGACCGGTAGAAAATCGCTGCACCTCATATCCGACCACTATCTAAGGGCACAAGTCTAGACAAAGAGAACTTACACTGGACACGTATCTGCATTTTAAAGTTGGCAAAAGGCGTATCTCACAATCTGTGTGATGTCTAGGGTAAGGATGAGGATCGTAGGACCATTAAGGCTGCACAGTACGGATCTCAAAACTATTGCTAGAGCCACGATGGAGTTTATGTTGAGCTATTCAATTTCAAACGGTCAAACACATAAGGCACAGCAAATTATAACTTTGCCGTCACCCTATACTGATGACTATTGCCTATGTCCGATTCCTTGCCTCTGGTACGAGTGGTGGTGAGTAAATACCCTGTTTTATGTCAAAAGTCGAACTGCGACAATTTCGATGACGCGGAGGAAGTATATGCACAGGGTTATCTAAAGGTGTGGATTTCATAAATTCAACTCCTTCATTGCATACTTGTCCCTATGGTGTTGTTGTTCCTATGCTTGTTTCATTGCCTTCAGACTCAGTGCAGTCACAGTCAACTGCAACAACAACATCATTTACTACGTCTTCAGCTGAATCACAAATTTCGAGTCTCATTACCACAGAAACTGGCGAGGACACAATCACCGTTACACACGGAGCAACAACTGCAGCTCCTCTACCGACAATTCAATCCACAAGTGCACCCTTGATTGCTGAATCCACCAACTACATCTGGATCGTAGGCGTGCTGACTGGAAGCATTCTAACTGTGATTCTCATTGCTTTAATATTTGTGACTTTATGTAAGAAGTGCCGCCAAACCTCAGCACAGGCTCGGATAACTAACACCCGAGATCATGGAAGCGAGCCTCCCACCCAGGGATTCAGCAATCCTGACTATAGCTACGCAGACTTGCGTGGAAATGGGTCTGACCCAACACGATCCGTGATTGAATGCGTTAACCCTGACCGAGACTACCCGCCGAACCAACAAGTTGCCACGGAAGTTCAATATGAAAACACCAATCCACACGAGAGCAATAATCGTGTGCCACAGAAACCAAAGACATCCAACGTTGAGGAAGAATACTCCATAGCCGGCGCAGCCGCAGACGATCGTAACAAGTCCCAACAGGAAGACGCAGCACATGTCCTTGTTTCTTTTGCACAGGAAACGGCCGTTCTAGACCTAGAGCAACGAACTGACTCCAACTATGATGAACTACGCTATGCCAGCAAAGAATGGGGCACTGTTGTGGACGCAAGGCAACAGGTGTATTCTGATGTGGAGGAAATAGACCATCTGGACCAACCACAACAGTCAGAGTCTTCATACGACAAACTATGCCATCCCAAGAGTGGGCATGAACGGTTCGCCAGTAGGGAACCCCAATGTCAATCACAGATGGATCATGGCAAAGACCCGACTGCCCACGAAGACCAGCCCCAGGAATCGGATCCTTCGTACGGCAACGTACAAGAGAAAGTAGGAGGGAATGAATCCAGTGCTATTGCAGACATACCGCAACAGGACTATGACGAAGTTGATCGGGTTTAAAGTGGGTTTTACACAGCAGATACGTATGACAACCAAGATCCAAGCGTAAAGTAAGATCCAATATACAGCCACGACGAGATATTTAAGTCTTTGAATACACGAATGCAGACTTAGAGTGAACAATTGGAAACCTGCACGTAGGCTTAAGTAGCAACATTTTACCATCCCTGTTTTGACTTTCACCGCTTGTGTGTGTATGTACGTGCGAGCACCTGTTTATATCATGTTGATGCCACTGACTTCAAAGCGTATCTCGCCACTTTATGCTGACCTTTGAGTAGGTTGAATCAAGACTAGTACTCCAGATACACAATTAGTCCTTCCGATGAACATTCTAACAGATCACCATTTATTTTCGCTGCTAAATTTGCCTGGTACTTTGCAGCACATGAAGCGGGCCCTTTGAATATCCCATTAATGCGACACACGCTTGCTTGTATTATGAATGATTAGCGAACATAATTATTAATTAATGGTACAATACCCTGCAACTGCCTATGCAGAGTTACTTAATAATTATCACATTTTGAGTTATACATCCCCTACACGTGCATTAACGTGTTCATTTTCCTGAAATCCTCCATTTCAGCGTAATGCATACACTGTAGATACTGCCATACCATAGATGATACATTCTACTGAACTACACCTAATTATGTGACATGCGTATCTTCCAGATTTCACCTTTGGCGTTTCCTAATCAGCATCTCATGCATACCTAATGAAATTCCGTTTTCTTGTTTATATTTTCGCCTTGAGGCCTGAACTAACGTTCCCAGTCAATTTCCGGAAATAGAGGCTTTACAGAGACTTCAACTTCCCTCACTAGCATAGCCTACGAAGAGGGAACATGATGGTAAATGCACTCATTGGTGTGACGCTTTTGATATTCATGACGCAATAGGTTCTGATGTATCATTTGCAACTGGTCAAACCAGGAACTTGCATTGTGGTCTACTACTCGGTCCTTTTCGCTGTCTGCCTATGCAAACCCGAAACAGGGCTAACAAAGGTTTGCCTGGTCTGCAGTGCGTAATCGTTACTGTTAGTTGGAAGGTCCACTGCTGACCTCCTCATGATGAATAACTGAAAAGTACAAGAGTTGGGGGACTATTTTGTGGATTTGTAGACGGATTTATTTTTATTTATTTTTATTCCAAGCAATACATGGCTGGGTAGCCGATGACCACCTTGCGTGGCAATTGCACGGTTTTTATAGCCAACCACGGCTAACAAGGAAAAGAGTAAGAAGTCCAAAAGAAAAGGAAAAGAAGAAAACATGGTTTGGGGTCTACTGGTAAAGCAAGGCGTTCCTGGATGCTGTTAAAAGATGAACAGATAATTGGCGACCGTATGATGCGTACCAAAGATGCAGGCTCGACCGCCAGATAACCCATGGAAGACAGTTTAGAACAATAACCTGATCAATCCAAGAGTAATTTACAGACGATTTGATTGGAATTTAAAACAATACTATTCAAACCTATACCAGTAAACAGGTCTTTGGTTTGAATGGAGTTGTTACCACTTCCAAATCCAATTTCTTTAATGTCAATGCATTGCCGATAAACTGACTACATTTAATAACCATAAATAGGGCCATAACCAATGGCCAAATAACCAATCCACAGGCTAAGTACACAATCACTGGTCGTTGATCACCCGCAGGATGCTAGTCTAGACGTACTGTACTATTATTGCATGGCGTTGTGTGGTCCTGCAGCTGGTGCCAACTGGCACATTCATTGTATTCACGCATGGATAGCTCCATTCAATCTGCGCACACATCCCGTACACTCACGAGAGTAGTAGTCAACTATCCAATCAGCTTGACGCGATCATTTACCAGAAGTTCTTGCCATCACTGACAGGGCGGTCCACGGGGGAGGGCTCTGCACTCCGCCGTATTCTGTCAGTTGCAGCCCGCTCTGGTGGCATGGCCATTCCTGTTCCGGCAGCGGAAGCAGAGAGGGAGTTCAAGTCCTCCCGACGTGTTGTGGCTCCTCTTGTTGCCCTGATTACGGCACCTAATGGTCCAATGCGTGAGGGAACTGCCGACCAACAGCATACGCTTGACAATGCTCCGGAGCAGTGTCGTGGGCAGCCCTCTCTTCTTCTCTCTTTCTGCATAAAATCGGAAGGCTGTGGAACTGCCATCCACCAAGGATAAACATCCCACGATTAAATTTCTAAAATTCAGCAGCAATATCGCTTGCACGTGAAAAGTTTTAAATATAATTGTAGTGGTATATCCATGGACATTGAATTGTTTTCTTTTTGAACAATCCAGCCCTGTTTGTATTGCTCAGTATGTACCATATACTGTAGTAGTATAGGTGGAATCCTGATAATTCGAATATGGCTTAATTCGAACATACCGCTTAATCCGAAGTTTTTCCAGGACCAATTTCTATCAATACGATTCCCAAATAAAAAATTCTGATAATTCGAACCTCGAACTGGACATGTCGGTTAATTCGAAGTCTCACAGATTCCACTTGCATAGAAAATGTGTGGGATTTGTGCTGATAATTCGAAGTTGGCCAAGTGTAATTCGAAGTTCACTGTACACTGTCCTGGTCAGTTCAGTTTGCATGAGTAGGCTGTGCCGGTCAGTTCAGTGTCCCTCAAATTTGTGTCTAAGGTCCATAGCGCAAATCTGCGTGACCATGAGGGCATTTTGACATACATATTGAGTTGTGGGTTTATGTTTGGATAATTAGAATGTTTTTATAATTAGAAGTTTTTTCCTGGCATTTTGAGGTTCGAATTATCAGGATTTCACCTGTATATGTAGTTTTTTCCTCACCGTATATTTCCAAAGCATGATTTGCATAAGGAGATCCCCTCGATAGGCCATTGCCACTGGGAGATACTTTAAATAAAGATCAATGATAAAATTTAATGATATTGGCCGTATCACTGTTGTAGCAATTTTGGTATTGTATGTTGGTCAGGACTTGATGGTTGATTGTGTTGTTTTTTTCACGGCTGAGCGTAGCGAAAACGTGTAAAAAACGTATTTTTCACTCACCATTTTTCTGTCGTGCTCTGCTGCTCTTCCACTGCGCAACTCTCCCCCACCTGCCATCGTGGTCTTGTATTCCTCGTAGAGCGTGGAGTTTTCCCGCCCTCCCTCCCTTGGGTCCCGTACGTTGTGGGGATTCCATTGGGTGCTGTTTTACTGGTTTTCAATGGCATACTTTGTTTTGTGTGTTTCTGTCCCGAGGGTCTCGGGGTTTTTTGGTTGTACTTCGACATATGATTACTCCTTTCTGCTTGTTTCTCTTCGGTTTTTCTTTTGGGTGTGACTGGCAGTGGGGCAGGTCCCATATTAGTAGAAGGGTTTTTTGGCCGCAAGGCGAGTTTTTCCCCCAGCCCGGTTGTGCGGTCGTGGCTGGAAATTTAGGGAGTCGGATTTTCAGGCGCTCCCCCACTGGCCAGTCACCCACACCAGGACATTGCTCTGCTCGTGTCTTGCACTGACATATCTCTTGCTGGCCGCCTTGCTCTTTATTACTTCTGGCCTAGTTTTTGGCTAGCGTGTGGCTGCGAGTGTGGTGTGACGGAATACTGAGTACATTCTGTGAGTACATTCTGGTAGACCACTACCCCATGTACAACCCGGTTGCTATGTGAGTAAAAATACTCGTTTTCTTTGTTTGACTTCTCTGGTTTTTGTCTTTTCTGGGTTGTTGCATGAGTTTGATAAACGGTGCTGCTCTGATGGTTAACCATTTGTTTTGGTATTCTCTAGTTGACTTGATTCTTTTATTTTATTTTCTAATCGGATTTTCCTATTTATTTTATTTTATTTTCCTATCTATAATGCGCTGGACTGGATTTTTCACCATTGCGTTCGTTGCTTGCACTTTTCGAATTATTCATTCCGACACCCAGTTTATTATCAAATAAAAGCAAAAAGGTATCAGTAGAAGAGGTTGGTGCGACAATGGCGATATTTGGGGAATCGTGTTTTGCTCCCTACGTTGGAGCTTGCGCTATTTCTGCCGACTTGAATTCTCATTTGACGTGTAGTGAGCAGGGAGCAGTGCTTTCTTGCAGGTTTGCCGAGTGGACGGTTCTATGGACTTTACGCGTGCTCTGGATGGCAGTCGTGAATCCGTCAAGAGAAAATTCAAGTTGGCAGGAATAGCGCAAGCTCCCACGAAGGGAGCAACTCACATTTCCCAAAGTTCTTAGTAGTAATTTTTGAAGAAAGCAGTAGTAGACGAATGTATTATTTTAATAGGGGAACCCTACAGACGATGTCATCTTATTACAGGCAACCCTGTGAATGAATTGACACAATTGAACAGACTCTGAGCGATAGGTCACAAAAAGCATCCTGTGAGATCCACTAGGCTACACAGCATGTGGCTGTACGACCACACAGTTACACACCCTAAGCTCCACGGACGGTCAACGAATTTAGCCATATAGCTGTTAGAATTTGTCCAATGTTACTGCATTGGACGAGCGTTCAGGATTATTCAGACGGTCCTGCGGCATTGCTATATTTCCTGTTTGAATGAATGCTAAATTGTGTACTGTTCACCTAACCTTTTTTGGCCAGAAAAGCTTATGAGTGTCAATCCCGTGCAAGGTTCATTGAATACGGAAACATGTCGTTCCCGTGAACAGAAGTGTTTTCTGAGTCTATTGTTCAACAATGAACCTTTGAGTACACCAAAAGACTATATATGCCAATCGTTCTCCCTTCGACATGGCCATGACCATGCACGATACTCTATAATCAGTTCCGCCCTTCTGAAAATGCTTTTAGCACTCCCTTGTAGCATGCATTGTTAGCATCCTGTCCGCAGTAGCTTGCCATAGTGCACCACATGTTTTTCTATCGAGTCGAGGCATTCAACCACACCTGCTAAATAAGCCCTGCATGCAGGATTTTCTACGTGATTAAGGCTGCCTTCTTGTCCAGTTTTCTACCGTGCTAAATCCTCTAACTTAGATGTAGCTGGGACACGACCTGCGCTTCACATCAGTATCAACACGAGCAGTTACGGACATATTCTCTCTATCGAGCTCTTGAAGATTTCCAATGCTACGCTTAGGTGTTGATGTCTCGAGAAAGCAACACGAATCCTCCAATACGGTAGAGTGTATCAACTAGAGCCAGTGACGAGAGCAGGGAGTGCAATGCATTGTCCAATAGCTCTTCTTCTATCTGGTAAGATTCACAAACAATGTACTGTTTAACCTAGGAATTTACTAGTAGCTATCGGACTCGCGATCGGACTCGCGATCAAGGCAATAGGTAGACTCCTAAGGCTTAGAAAACAGGTACCAACATCTTGGGAAATCCATTACCTCTACACAGTATCACGTATGTAAAAGTAGTGCGGCATCTAAAATTCCGAAAAAAATATATGCAAAATTCGGTTAGTTTGAATGCAGACTAGCCCTTGGCGAATCATACCGGCAGAAACATTGGCAGAATTCGGTACTTTTTCTGGTGAGTGTTATGCATGTTTTGGTATGTGGATAAATAAATGGAGCAGAATTCAAGGAATTGCCCACCATAAGGTTCGTATGGTTCTGCCAGCTTCACTGGTTTTCGAGCAGAATCTGCCACCTTTTCGAGTAATATCCGAAAACGGCTAATACAGATACGATTGATGCTTTGTATTTGAAGTTCTGCCAATCTTGTTAAAAATTATTATGTTTATTTCTATTATTTCAAATAACGCTGAGTACTTACACAATATACATGCATAAAACCCAGCATTTGCCAAAATGGAAGGAAGAATGAGGAACGAGCGAGAATGAGCTCAATATCAGAACTGCCATGGCAACACCGGCAACGCGACAGCTGCAGAATGTTGGAGTGTTTGGGTCTGCTTTGTTCGTTCTGCCGTTATGTCACACCAGTACTGCTCTCTATCTGCCCTTTTTTGCAAATTGTCTGTTTGTGCCCAATGTGTTCCACTTGTTGTGTAGCTTTCGACTTCATAGTTCTCGCCTGTTGTTTATCAGGCTGTGTTTACATGAGAAATTTCAAACCGGGTCGAGTTCAGCGCGGGTTGAACGTCTGTGCGAAAGACAAAATAGGTGAGCGTTTAGGGTTTGTTCACACATCGCCGGTACGCGCCGGGAATCATCGGGAGTGGGCCTCTTGCAACCTCTCCCGGCGCATTGCGATTGGGTGAACAATTGCAGTCGTAACAAAATCATAAGGTAAATATCGCATGGGACCGCCGGCAAAGTTGGACAGTGCCCAACTCTTGCGATTTGCATGCTCACCAAGCGAGTAGGGATTCCAGGTGTCAAGGACTTCGATATTTTCCAAGATTGTGATGGAGCAGGATCCCTCTCGACTCATGTCAAAATGCAAAAGGAGCCATCCATGAAATTATTGCTCTGTATCGCTCCAGCCCAGTCTGTCAGCTGTCCTGTGACGACTTGTTGTCGTTTTTGATAGGCGATAGCAAGAGTACATAACCCCCCAGAGTGTGCAACGGCTGATCCAGCTCTGCATAGGGTATTGGTCGAGCGGAATCGGATCTTTGCGTCATAATACCATACACATCTGGGGGGGAGTCGCGGGTACTCTTGGATCAAAAACAATGGTGCCCTGCCTCGAGACCGGCCTTGCGCTGGTGTGGAGTGTACGCATGACATCAGAAGATCCAATTCCGCTCGACCAAGACCCTATGCAGAGCTGGATTGGTGTTGCACACTCTGGGGGGTTATGTACTCTTGGCGATAGAGGTGACAGTTTAGTAGTGGTATTCTGTGTGCAACATGGCTCAGTACACATGGAATGGAGTTTAGTTTTTTCTTCTGTTTTTGTTTTTTTTTCGCCCGCCCGCGTGCCTTTTCCAGAAAATATCCGACGCGAAACATAGAATTAACTTGGTGTGGCCTTACATAAAGACAGTTGACCAGGGTCAAACACTGATATGGCGCCAAAGGTCCAATTCTAGAGTCCTGTATGGTCACGTGAATCCGTTCGCGCGAAATTTGCATGTGCAGTGCTGTTCAAACCTGGCGCGAGATACGCACAGAAGTATGTTTATACAATTTTCTTGACCCAGGTCCATTCATTTTGTGTACACGGCGGGTTGAAATCTGACCCGGGTCGAACTCAATCCGGGTTGAAACGGCTCATGTAAACACAGCCTTAGTATATTACGATGTGGATATTTGCTCGTACAACTAGAAGGACCTGCAAAAGACGAAAATAGTATGGACCCACGGTTAACATACTCTTCAGCGCACCCGAAATCGCACTCCGCATCATAGCACACCCACGATATCAGCATCAATGTTACGCGCACACGGGTTTGTGGCGCCGAGATTTTCCGCCTATTTTGTGACAGCTTATCTTTACCCAGCGACGGAAAGTATAAGCCTTTGCCGATGCAGCGATAAGAACAGTTAGCGCTGCATATCTCAGCGCGAGTTGTGGTTAGCGTTTGATACCTCAGCGCCAAGTAGAAAAAAGCATTACAGTCCATTTCAAAACTGTAGACGCTTACCTAGGCAAAAACCGTTATGCCAGCATCTATACTACATAAAATGTCGTGATCCCTTTGTGCATAATTTTTTCCAAATTGGGCGTCTTTTATCCAATCGTTTAGAAACTCTATAAAAGTAATTGTGGAGCGATCCTGAGCAATATTCCGTAAACTATTCTCAAAACAGCCAAATTTGAAATATTTCAAAAACCCTACGCGTCTATAGTTTGGAAATGCACTGTAACTACTTGTCATAGGCACAAAGAGCTCACCAAGAATTTGAATCTCTGAATCTTGGAATCATGGAATTCATTACTTTCACAACCTGGCGTGGAAAACAAGCAATCAGCCTTGGTGGCTACTGCTACCGACAGGACTAGCACACTCGAGATGGACGGTTGTTGTGGCGGTGCATGGAAGTAACTTGCTGCGCTAGAGGAGAAAGGAGGGGGGGGGGTTGAGGATATTCTTATCCCTCGCGGACACGCCGAACATTTTCATGCCACAAGGAGGGGAGAGGGCCTCCAGTGGAGCTGTATTTTAACAATGAAAGAACAAGCACCGCAACGACCTGACCGACTCCGCAAATTTACTCTACTGTCGCCGGATGACTCCACGACATGGATGCCCTGGCAGCATCCACAATACCGTCGGAATCATCTCTATCTGCGTCACTTTGCCGTTCGCGTCGAGCTGTTTACCCAACTCTACCGAAAACTTTGCGCTCAGTGTATTCTATTTCACATTAACGTTAATCAACGTTCAGTGTATTTGGCGCTGAAATGAATACTGCTGTGCATTGTTGGCGCTGAGATGAGCAAGGCGACATTTCGCCGGCGTTCATGTGATTAAGGCTCATTTTGTTGGCGCCACGATACATTCGCTCGATGACACTGTGCGTATCCATTGCCTTTGCAAAGTGCAAAGGCGAATGATTTTTCGGGTAACAGGGTAAGCTTCAAAATTAAAGACTGTAATGGGTTCGCTGCGGCGATGTGAATTCGGACCCGCTGGGGTGGGCGTTTGCAGCGGACATTACGGTACCACCCTAACCTAGCTATCTACTTTCAGGCATGATTTTATTTTATTTTTTGCAATGTTCACATTCCCAGCTCGAAAATAATAAAGAAAGACAATTGTACTGAGACTTGGAGGAACGTGACAACGGTTGAGCACGGGCTGCACCGAGACGCTGCAGTGATGGCGGGACATTGATGGCTCTGCCGACCTGAGGTCTCGGCATCACGGCCAACAATACACACCCAAAATAATAGATTGAGCTGTAAGAATCAGCAAAGTGAAAAAGAAAGGGTTAACACAGGTGAGTGTGCAGGAGAAACTGTGAGACTACCAACAATTAAAAGGGTTTGGACTGAGAAGAGCATCATCATGGCTTATCATGCAGAGTCGATTGTCCGAGCTAGTTCCGATGCATAGATAGGTATAGACGAGAGCAGCACCATAGCGAGTTGACTGCCCAGAGCCAAACAGTGAATCGCAGATGGCTATAAACGCTCGTTTTGAATGCCTGCATTGACTTGTTGTGGGAAGGCGGGGCCAGAAGAGAGGCGGGGAGGGAGTTCCAGTCACTAATACTGCAGTGTGGGAACGAGCGCTTCAAATCCAGCGGGACAGATGCAAGCAGCTGGTGTTGTTGGAGCTGGTGGTCATGGCCAATGGCACTACCATGCTCGCTGCGAGTTCTGAGGCTGAATGAGGGGAAATGGCGCCGTGACCAAAACAGAGAGCAGCTGCGGAGGACCTGGCAGGTAATGCGGCTTGTACCGGCAAACAAGCGTTCCTGATGCCGGCTGGGGTGGCGAAGGGTTCTTGCCCGGCCCTACCTAACTATCTAGACTTTCCTACACTGTTTCCTTCTATTACTACCTAGCTAACTCTAGTCTGGCGTGATGCCTGCTGGGATGTCCATTGACGTCCCCTAAGGTTGAGTTATTGGCATGGGAATCATACTCAGGTTAAGATGAACGGAAACTGTGTATAAAATTGCACGGCAAGCCACCACTCTATAATGTTATGTACTGCCTGTGTTAAGGGCTTTGTGTCATCGTCCTCGGTGAGCAAACGTGCAGCAGGAGGCAATGTTTTATCGAAGGCAACTATCAAGAGCGGACAAACTCTATCAACACTGTTGGAGTCTTGTACTACAGTGTATTAACCAAACAGCACTCTAAGTGGCGGAAAGTGGCCAATGGCCAGACAGTCTCTGCAACGTTTAAGCCTACATCATCCTGCAACATGGTTGTACGGTATGTGAACTTCTACATTAAAGGAGGATCAGCCTGTCAAACAACTATTAAATTGATCCGCGGAAGCAAGATGGACACGTTGAGCAATTTGGCTCATTGTGGCCCCGAGGAAACAAAATGCCTTCGATGGCATGGCCTGAATGAGATGCCGTATTATCTAAGACAACAGTGTCCAAACCCATCTCAAGTGAAAGTCGTGATCAGACCAGTGCGGAATAAAGATAAAGTATATCCATGCTTGGTCAGTGCCAACAGTGACAATATCCCAATCATTCGACTCTTCATGGAATGTAAGTGAATATTAACGTTAATACACAAGTTTGTTTTCTTGTGCTCCTATAAATTAATTAAATAACATTATTATTTATTCTAGTGAGGTGCCAGCAGGATATGTACATACACGCCATTTGACAGAAGTAGTAAGTAAATGTCGCGTTCCAATAATGCCAGGTAATGTCTAACGATTTCACAGCAGTAAAGCCAGGGCAGGATTCCTAAGTGCTAGGAATCCATGGATTTAGGTAACATGTTATTTCACGTTAGCGAATGCAGGACCTATCATAGTTTACATTTCACATGGTAATTATATCTCCGGACAGGTCGCTATTCCTCGATCAACGAGAAACATGGCAAGCTTTGTACATACGAATAGACCTTTAGGGCCAAACATCAAGAATACTTTTAAAATCAAGCCGAGTCGAGAGAATGTAGTAATCAGTATCCTATAATTATGTCTTTTTAAATAACGAATCCGTGTCATCTCTTTGGAACACGTCCTCACTCTCCATGAAAAAAACATCCAACAACAGAAGTAGATCCCCCGATAGGCTATGCCTTTGGGAAATCTTTAATAATAATAATTCGCGGGATTCGCGTTGGCATCGCTTGAATGTTCAGAGAGGGAAATCTTTCAAATAATACAAATAAGTACAAGAACAACCAGAAATGATGAATCCTATCCATCTCATGAAATCTACCGTCTGTGCATTAGCTCTTTTATTAGTGTAGGTCAGCTCAGATAAATGCAAAATTAATTTCTACAGCTAAAGTCGAAAAACTTGCCATGGCGTGTCATAACTAAGTGCTCCTAATTTCACTGCAGATGGTGGCGGTCGCTCTGTTCTTTGGACGTGCACCGAAATTGCACTGTCCAGTCAATCCATTATATCGTTCAGTTCAGAACACTGGAGAGTCATTCCAACAGCTTGTGAAGAACTAATTTTGTTTATTCTGCTATACAACGGGAGTGGATGGCGCTGTCAATGTTTAATTCGAATTCAGCAGGATGTATGTAGTTAAGGTGAGGAGGGAGGTACTCATGGAAGTATCAAGCGTCACTGCAGAGAACCGAAACGAATACTTTTCATCATCAACATCAGAATGCAACCGAAGGCTTGATTCTGTTCAACAATTCAAACAATCCTGCGGTTGCTTAATTTGAGACGAGAGTGGAATTTTTTTGTTTTGCTGTTAAAGCATTTGTAACGCTACGTTTCGTACCCGTCCCGTACTAAAAGCGAATTATGCAAGCTAGGATACCCATAAATTGGTTATTCATGGTGGTACATGTACATAGTGGTGGTGGTGATGGCTTGAAGGGTATTTACTCTTTTTCTCTCTCTAGATTCCTCTAGTCATGTCCATCCTTGCATGTTTCTTTACAGGTTTTGCTACTACCTACCATTTGCCTGTGTTTACTGCAGACACGACAAAAGAAGAACCCACTAAACTGGCACCCACTACACGTAGACCTGTGCCGACAACTGTTAAAGCAAGGCCTACAACATCAAATTCTATTATACCAACAGAAACAAGAAATATACCCATTTCACCGATCTTCGTCACAACAGAGCATGCCATACAGCCTACATCCGAGGTCCAAACAACAATTGGAAATCGGTCTATAACAGCATCCGACGAAAAGCAGGGTATTGATACGTAGGCCTGGGAATTGTTTTGAAAGCCTACCCTTTCTTTATCTTACTAATGTTCTCTGTCCGCAGATAGATCATAGTCTCAGATATGTATTGTATTTTTCCAGTCTGAAATACCTTTGAGAGAAGTTATGTGTATTTGGAACTAATACCAAGGTTAAGAACCTAGATTTCCCTACCATGCATTAACAATTAAGGACCTGGTTCTGAAGACGACCTGGCTTTAACGACCGATTTTGCTTGCATCGTAGGGTGGTCGCTTAAATCAGGTTTTACTGTACATGTAGGCACGAAGAAGGTGACTTTGAAAATGTCGTACGGGGTAGAAGCCCTTTTGTGACAGTCATGACACCACATTTAGGTGCAGGACGCATCATATTATTGCCAAGGGACTAGAAAATAGCTGTGCCTCGTAATCGACCACCAGACCCCTACAACCGCCCTCCCCCCTCCCTGCACAAGTCTAAACAAAGGTGCCTTGCATTGTACATAATTATGTCTGCATTCCCAAGTTGTTGTTGTTGTTGTTGTAGAAGTTTATTTAACGTCGCACCACAAACAGGCGATTTCGCCTCCTTTGATACATGTGGACGACAGAAGGAATGAGAGAGAGGGGGGGGACAGAAGTATGGAGAGAGGAAGGGTAGAAATAAATAAGCAATCAACCTCAGGGCTACACCAAAGCAAAAATGGAATGGGAACATACTATATACAAAATAGCTTCATACATATATTGCAAAACACGTTTACTATTCTTCAGTCGGCTATACCACAGAAACACACTAGCCGAAAAGCATTTAAACGGAGCCATGATGCGCTTTTAGCAGGGCACAGAACTGAAGGTGGCTGGGCTCGGAACGGAGATCAGGCGGGAGCTGGTTCCACAGGACTGCGCCGATGAACTGCATGGTCGCTCGACCCGCAGGACCGGGCCAAAATGGTACTCGAACGAGGTGATGTGCTGCTCCCCGAGTGCGGTCACCAGTAACTCTCACGAAGAAGCTGGTGAAGAGGGAGCTAGCTCGGGAGAACAGACAACGACGGACAAAGATGAGGAGCTTAATGTTAAACATGTCCTCCAGGGTGGTGAGGCGGAGCTGTTCAAAGATCGGGCTCGTGCGCGACCACGGTGGCAGACCGAAGAAGCCGCGGATAGCGCACTTCGTTAGACGTGTGAGGGGCTCAATGTTGCCAATTTGAAGTGACGGATAAAAGGCGTTGGAAGCGTACGACAACCTACCCTGGATCATCGACCTGTAAAACAGGATCTTTGACGCCAGGGTGAGGCTTCGGCGGCTCCGCCACAGCGCACCTACTGACTTCCGCACCTGCTGGATTGTGTGATTGACGTGAGGCTCCCAGGAGAGCTGCCCATCTACCATTACGCCCAGGTACCGCGCTTGTTCCACAACTGCAAGGGCTGCAAGTTGTCAATACACTTATCTCATACTCTGCGCAAACTTGAGGAAAAGGGTAAGGGGTGTCCGATCTTTTCAAAGGCCTTTCGACCCTAAAAATACTGTACAGCACGGACCAGGAACGATGGAGTTTATGTTTTCCTCTTCATTTTCAATAGTTTAAGGACATGGCAAAGCGAGTAAAAGTTTTCATCTCTCCAGACTTAATATTGTTTTGTGTCTTGTTTTTTAATTTACTTTTCCTTAGATGACTAAGGCTAGTAATTACACTGGCATGTTAGATAGCAACCGACGATACAGCCCTGAGCCTTTTGTAATTCTGACGAAAAACCCGGACATAATGTTTCACGTAGTCTATGTACAGCGTTATCCGATGGTGTATACCGTGCTGATGTAATGAATCCAACCACTTCATTGCATACTTATGTCTATGGCGTTGTTGTTCCTCTTCTTGTTTCACTTGCGTCAGATTCTGTACAACCACAGTCAACTGTACCAACCACGTCACTCACTACGGCTTCAGCTGAATCACATAATATATCAAGTATGAACAGCCATATGAACAGCCGTGTACCGTTGCTTAATTTGAGACGGGAATGAACTTGTTGCTATACCGTTATAGCATCTGTCACACTAGGCTTCATACTCACTGAAGTAACAAAGGCGAATTTTTCAAGCTAGGATTGCAAATAGTGTGTAATGCATAGTGGTACGTAGTGGTGGTGTAATGGATTGAATCATATCATCTATCTCTCTCCAGACTGCTCTAGTGCTGTCCATTCTGGCGCCTTTGTTTACAGGTTTTGCTGCTACATACTATTTGCTTGTGTTTCCTGCAGACACGACAGAGGAAGAACCCACTACACTGGCACCCACTACACGTAGATCTGTGCCAAAAACTGTCAAAGCAAGGTCTACAGCATCAAATTATGTTACATCAACAGAAACAAGAGGTACACCCACTTCACCGACTTACTTCCCAACAGAGCACGCCACACAGCCTGCATTCATGTTCCAAACAACAATAAATTGGTCTGGGACAGTAACCGACGAAAAGCCCGGTATTGAAACGTTTGTTCGGGACTGTGTCCAAAGCCTACTCTTTCTCTATCTTAGTAATGTTCCATGTCCGCAGATAGAGCATATTCTCTGATGAATATTGTATTGTTCTAGTGTGAAAATAGTTGTGCCTCGTAATCGACCATCGAACCACTACCCCCCCTCCCCCCTCCCTCCACAAGTCTAGACAATGAGCCCTTACATTGTACATGTACGTGTATCTGCATTCTCAAGTTGCCAATAAGCCTATACCCCTCTGTGAAAGCTGAGGATACGGGTATGGGGCGTCACGCCCATTAAAAAAAGATTGCACAGTACGGACCAAGAACTATTGCTAGAGCTGCGATGAAGTTTATGTTGCTCTATTCGATTTCAGTCAGTTAAAGACATAAGGTAAAGCCCGTGAAAGTTTCAACTGGACAGAATTTTTACTGTTTTCGGTGGGACCTTTTCATTTGCATTTACTTTCACTGAGATGACCAAGGCTAATAGTTTCACTGGCTGTTTAGATAGCAACCGAAGATGCATCCCATAGCATTAGTAATTCAGATTAACAAATGATCTCGCATTGTGTATGTATAGTGTTATACGAAGGTGGATATTGTGTGGTTTGACTGAATTCAACTTCTCCATTGAATCCTTGTGTCTATGGTGGTGTTGTTCCTTTCCTTGTTTCACTGCCGTCAGATTCGGTACAATCACAGTCAACTGCACCAAATATATCCCCTACTACTTCTTCAGCTGAATCACATATTTCGAGTTTAAGAAGCGCTGGGACTGACGAAGACGCAATCACCATTACACACGACGCAACAACTCCAGCTCCCCTACCGACAATTCAATCTACCAGCGCATCTCTGATTGCTGAATCCACCAACTACATCTGGATCATAGGCGTAGTGACTGGAAGCATTCTAACTGTGATTCTCATTGCTCTACTATTTGTGTTTCTATATAAGAAGTGCCGCAGAACCTCGGCACAGGTTCGTATAACTAACACCCGAGATCATGGAAGCGAGCCTCCCACCCAGGGATTCAGAAATTCTGACTATAGCTACACCGACTTGTGTGGAAATGCGTCTGACCCAACACGATCCGAGTACGAATGCGTTAACCCAGACGGAGACTACCCAACAAACCAGCAGGGTGTTCTGGAGGTTCAATATACAAACACGAATCCACACGGCAGCAATAATCTTGTGCCACAGAAACCGAAGACATCCAACGCTGAGGAAGAATATTCCGTAGCTGGCGCAGCCACAGACCATCGTAACCAGTCTCTACAGGAAGCTTCAGAACATGCTTTATACACGTGTCCAGAGGAAGTCTCCGTTCTAGACCTACAGCAACGACCTGACTCCACCTATGATGAACTACACTATGAAAACAAAGAATGGGGCACTCTTGGAGACGCGAGACAACAGGTGTATTCTGATGTGGAGGAAATTGACCATCTGGACCAACCACAACAGGCAGAGTCTTCATACGACAAACTATGCCATCCCAAGAGTGGGAAGGCACGTGCCGCCAGTGGGAAGCCACATTCACATATACAACCTGGTGCAGACGAAACTGCCCACGAAGACGAGCCGCAGGAATCGGACCCTGTGTACGACAATATACAGGAGGACAAAGGAGGCACGGAACCCGGCGCTCCTGCAGATATACAGAAACAGGACTATGACGATGTTGACCTGGTTTTTGCACTATCTGACAGGTACAGCAACCAACCAAGCGTCACGTGTGATCCAGTAAATGTAACCACAACGAGAGATTCGAGCCTTTGAATATTATACGAATGCAGACTCGGAGCTAAAAATCGGCAGTCTGTACGTATGCTTTAGAAGGAGCATTTTCGCATCGTTATTTGGAGTTTAACTGATTATGTGTGTATCTGTGTGTGCACGTGTACGTGAGTGTGCCCGTGTGTTTATGTTGAAGCCACTGCACTTCAAAGCGTTGCTCGTTACTTAATGTTGCCCTTGGAGTATGTCGATTCAATGCAATTACTGCAGATACACAATGTGTCCCTCAGATGATCATCCCAACAGACCACGACCTCTATCAACTGCTGAACATGTATTTGCATAGAGCTATGCACTTTCTCGATACATTTTGCCCTTCAGTCCCATTAACATCATCCACGTTTGCTTGTAGTATGAATGATCAACGAATACAGCTGCACGTGCATTTATACGTGATAGATGAAATGCACGTGTATTCGCGGATATAATTCACTGTTATCCTCAATGTCAGAGAACCAAATACACTGTAGTTAAAGCCATACCATAAACGATGAATTCGATTGAACTTCATACATGTTACATGCGTATCTTCCAATTTCGAACTTGGTGTTTCCTTAGCTTCTCCATGTCTCATGCAGTCATAATTGACCTATTTTTCCTAATGCATGTACTGTTTCCGTCATGTTTTCGCTTTTGAGTTTGGAAATTCCATCCCGAAACAAAAGCTCAGGCATATCATTCAATATCCATAGAACTAGTACGTTTCAAAGATGATAATTTCTAGTATAGGAGTACTTAATCACTATTTTGCCTTTTCCTGCCTTCAATTCAGTCACAACATTCTACTGTAGAAAGTGACATTAAACATTGCTTCTGGAAACACTTTGAATTTGCTCACGCGTGGGGAGGATAGCGGTGTTATTTTTACTTGTCACCTTTGAATTAGGGATCTTTTCTACGTTTTAATAGCAAGCGTTAAAACACTTAGGTATAAATGTCTTTGATTACGAATTATCATCCAGCAAGGTCGTATTACCGATTTCACTTCAGTGTTGATCCTTTGATGGTATGCTACCCATATTCACCTTCGGTAATGATGTGAACCAAAAGATTCTGCTAGCGTCAGAGCTCGCGCTCCCTTTTGACTGACTGACTCGTGATTGCCTGACACATGACTGACTCACGGCTACCTTCTGGGGCACAGCAGAAGATTTTGGGACCATCCACTCTTCAAACCTGCACATATCCCTTGAGTCCGTCATTCAGGAAGAAGGAATCGAAATTTGTTAACCAGCAGTCAAAACTTTCTTGGATAATTATCCAGCAATATATCAGTCAGAAGCATTACGGTTTTTGAATACTGGGTAAAATTTCTGAATTTCAGTTTATTCATGAAAATCTATAGAAATGAGAACGGAGGAAAGGACAAAATGAATGTTATTCAAACAAAACTGAGCGATGTTTAACCGCGAAAGCGTGTTTAGCGACTTGCTGAGTAATTCCAATATATTGATTTAGTTACTCGATGCCTGTGTGGCCTTAACCCATACACAAGGTTCATTAGCAGTGATTCACGTCTAGCAATAGTTTAAATTGCGGAGTACCCACTAGGTACCCAGCATGGAACAATCTGCATACGTCCCACAGTGCCAATAGTTGGTCTTGAAAACAGTTCACCACAATGAATGACTTGAGGAATATTCACATTTTATCACTCCAGCATGAGCATACACGCACTGAAATTGACCTCCTTGAGAGCAAGGCAGGGACGACGTCACTTGCCTCTTGGTCATGTACAAGCTTCCTCCGCAAATACTTCCACAAATAGGGTGAACTGATGGATGCATAACCGTTAATTCTATGATAAAATATGCTGAACATTCATCTGTCACGACGTGCCGTTTGTGGAAAATGGCTGTGAGGACTGCAGCAGCTACGCATGCTCCCCTGAAAGACATCTATAACATGGCCCCATGACCACAGGATTTTTACACGGGTATCATGGTGAACTGGTGGTCAAGCCAAACTCTCACTTACGTTGGTTGCACACACGGTATGTTTCGACGAGTTGGTTCATCTAGCTTCTCTCAGCTCATGGTATTTTGCGACCGTGCTCCAAAGAGATGGATAGAACAATCTTTGGAAGGTATGTGTTACTGCTCCGAACTTCATTTCAGTTTATCTAGAGTTAACTGCACTCTTTTGATTATACAGTCATGTACTTGAACGTGAATTGACCTTTTGACGCCCATCGCAGCTACGGCAGAAGCGACAGGAAGTTGAGCTTGGATAGAAACGATCAACATGTTGCAAGGCTGAAGAATTGACCGCCACTAATCAGGCTGGTCTACACCAGACAGGTATGCAGTGGCGTTTTCTGGCCAGTGAATCCCTACATTTTCGCCTTTTTTCATTCAAAAAATTGAAATGCTCGAATATTCTGTATATTATCTCTTTCATAATGCAGATAGTGACACAAACTGTGCAGCAGTAAGCAATCTTACCCGCTATTACCTCGCTAGGTTTGTAGTCTTCAGTAGGGAACATTACGTTGACCTCCGCCTCGTGGTCCAGATAAGAGAGAAAGCTGCTACAACGTATGGGCATTAATCTGCACAGAGTCAATCAACGAATTGCACGCAGGACTTGCAAGGAGGAATTGGAGTACGGTCACTTATAGGGAACACAAAGTATATGATAAATAATTCAAGGGGCATGGCAGCACAGCAAACTGGAATCAGATAAACTAGAATATTGGCTGGTGGATGAGTAAACCAACGCTCTTTATCACACGAGGGCCAACAGTGTGACTTTGCGTTTAGAGTTTCTGTGGAAGATTGTCAGAGCTACCGTTGTCATGTTACTACATTGAATTCAAGTTAGCGCTAAGACACTACACGCCTGAAGTACGAAAATCTACTCTGATACATAACTGTACTACAATCAAGAACATGCACTTCAGGTATGGCCGAGACGGGAGCTGACCTCATACTGTCAACTTCCATACTTCTCTCAAGTACACATAATATAAACATGGTGCATATCGTGACCAGACAGGTGTGATTTCATTTTAGCTCCACAGTAGGACACCGGATGGCGTTAGACTGGCGGTCTCTAACCGTACTGACGCAAGAGGTTTTGAAATGGTGCAGAGTAAGTAGATGTAGTTCCTTCTGGTTTGTCAAAGACCTGGGCCTAGATCCAAAACCAAGTGAAGTCTGGGGAAGATAGGTCATCGCTGCTGATACACGCCACCTTCAAACTGGCGTGAAGTTACGCGAATACAGCGCGTATCGCCTATAAGGTTGGCGGTTATAGTGATCAATTTCTCAAATTCATTTTCATTTGCCATAACTAAGTGTCCTGAAACTGTATTCACAAGTATGGTGGTAAACACGCATCTGGCAATATGGCGGAAAATACACGCCGGCCAGGGATTAACCAACAGGAAGTAAGGAGATGAATTGCTGTAAAAAACAGTATTGTATAATGTATAGTTACAGAGTTCAGTGATATCGTCTATAGAAATATTTGGCCTCTAGCGATCAAATTCAGTTTTCAAACCCTTCTACTACATTATTTTTGCATCCGGTAAAGTAATTGATGTGAAATTAAGAGAGCATGTCTGAGAATACCAAAGTATGTGTGCAAGTGGATCTCTCCGATTTCGCTCAAAATTTGCAGGTAGGTTGCCTTTGGGGTGTGGATCGACTGTGCAAAGCCCTTGAAAAAGTTTCTGAAGGGAACCTTGAAATTTGCATACCCCTCAAAAATGGCCGAAATATCACATTATTTATGGGTCTAGAAACGAGTCACGCCACAGCGTATACGAACAAGCTATGAACAAAACTACATCAAGCCAACATTGCCTCACCTTAGAAGAGTTCCTGGAGCAGTACCGCTTAGCCACGCCAGCATCCCAGAAGACGAGGTCCATCACCCCCTGACGCCACAAATGATCGTCTTGAAAATAGCCAATTTACAAGCGCTGGCAAAACAGCCAGCTACGTCCTCAATTGGCCAGAACTATACACCGGCAGATAGTAGAACACCTCTTCTAGCGCTGAGGACATGTCCCCCATCTTCCTTTTGGGGTTTTCTTGAAATAAACATTTTTGAATTTTTCCACTCGACCATGCTGAAATACGGCCAAAGTCATACCTGCGCAGGAAAGCTCGCCCCGTCGCGACGTCTCCTCAGCAATTTCTACTCCAACACTACTCCCAAGGCCGCAGAACAAAGTGTAGTTTTGACTCTGACAAGGAAAAGCAGCGGTGATCACTTGTCACTCCAAACGACAAGCTTCTCCTTGCGCCACGAATATTTTTTTGTGCGACTGTTGATGCAAAAGTGACTGAAGGCCTGAGCGCAGTTTTTGAATTTTATTGCAAGATGCACGGTGAAATCACGTGCCTTGTGACGCAAGAATGCCAAGTCGCGTGGCCCACGGCTCACGAGATTTCAGAGTCACCTTCGTCAAGTGCGCTTGTTACTCGCCTTGAACGCCCGTTGGTCTGGAAGTCATCCCACTTGTGTTGTTACTGCGCTCAAGAACACGCTGGGCCTGTTGTAGGCCTACGAACCGGGACTTTCCCTGACCATGTAGGTCGAAGACCAGTGAAATGATGATGAAATCACATTCTTTATGACGTAAGAAATCTCTCATGCAGTTCACGCGACAAGTGCGTGCAGTCAGTGCTACTCGCGTGCCAGTCAACACAGGGACCGAGCTAGCCGCTTTTGTCGAGCATCGACATGAAAACAAGGGACTTTTACCATGTTTACTGTTGGACTATGTTCGGGATTGCAGGAGGTAAGTGTGAAAGACGAATAACTCTCCATGCTGTACGGGGCATATTTCAACGGCTTGCTGCCATTGCAACACTCCTAGGACAGGTTGTTGGGGTACTCAGCAGTTCAAGCAGGAAATGAAGCTCATCTTACCTCTGCCATCATGGTCTGTTCCGAGTAGCGTTCCAGGCACTTTCACGATCGTTGGCCGCGTATCGTGATGCAGGAAGCGTCATCCTACGTCACAGAGCACGCGATCTCACCGTGCATCTTGCAATAAAATTCAAAAACTGCGCTCAGGCCTTCAGTCACTTTTGCATCAACAGTCGCACAAAAAATTATTGGTGGCGCAAGGAGAAGCTTGTCGTTTGGAGTGACAAGTGATCACCGCTGCTTTTCCTTGTCAGAGTCAACACTATACTTTGTTCTGCGGCCTTGGGAGTAGTGTTGGAGTAGAAATTGCTGAGGAGACGTCGCGGAGGGGCGAGCTTTCCTGCGCAGGTATGACTTTGGCCGTATTTCAGCATGGTCGAGTGGAAAAATTCAAAAATGTTTATTTCAAGAAAACCCCAAAAGGAAGATGGGGGACATGTCCTCAGCGCTAGAAGAGGTGTTCTACTATCTGCCGGTGTATAGTTCTGGCCAATTGAGGACGTAGCTGGCTGTTTTGCCAGCGCTTGTAAATTGGCTATTTTCAAGACGATCATTTGTGGCGTCAGGGGGTGATGGACCTCGTCTTCTGGGATGCTGGCGTGGCTAAGCGGTACTGCTCCAGGAACTCTTCTAAGGTGAGGCAATGTTGGCTTGATGTAGTTTTGTTCATAGCTTGTTCGTATACGCTGTGGCGTGACTCGTTTCTAGGCCCATAAATAATGTGATATTTCGGCCATTTTTGAGGGGTATGCAAATTTCAAGGTTCCCTTCAGAAACTTTTTCAAGGGCTTTGCACAGTCGATCCACACCCCAAAGGCAACCTACCTGCAAATTTTGAGCGAAATCGGAGAGATCCACTTGCACACATACTTTGGTATTCTCAGACATGCTCTCTTAAGTGGTATAAGATGCGAACATTAGAGGCAACATGCCACGTACTGCTCTTTTCACTCTGAAACTCAACACTTGCAAGCCAGATATGAAAGAAAGAAAAAAATTCTTTGAAATTCTCCGTGAAGTCCAAATGTGAAATTGCAATTTGTATTTGCTCGCAGTGGACATAGTCTGATGCGCTCCCCATGACATC